GGGGGGGGGGGGGGGGGGGGGGGGGGGGGGGGGATGGGATGAAATGGAATTGGATGGATGGGATGGGATGGAGCGGGATGGGATAGAATTGGATGGGATGGAATTGGATGGGATGGAATTGGATGGGATGGGGCGGGATGGGATGGAATTGGATGGGATGGGATGGAATTGGATGGGATGGAATTGGATGGGATGGGATGGAATTGGATGGGATGGGGCGGGATGGGATGGAATTGGATGGAACGGGATGGAAGGGGATGGAAGGGACAGCTCCATACCACAAGTTCCAGCCACCAGCTTGGCTGCTGACCACTAATTGCTGCTTGTATGCTGTTGGGGAGCTTTCTGGCTCCTCAGTGGGATATGTAGGGCTGGGGAAAACCTCCCAGTGCCCATCCTGCTGCATCCACTTGGCCACAACTCAGTTCTGTTCCCAGCCTCAGCCACCCCTGGCGGCTGCCGCAGTCAAAGAGCAGCTGGGTCCAGTTCCTTCTATCAGACCAGAAAAGCTCCTCAGTGAGAGCTCTGCAAGGCCATAATTAACTGCATCCTGAGCCATGAGCCTGCACAAAACGTCGCTTTTATTAGCGTCAAGCAGGATCTATATTAGAATACCCAAATTAATTCAACCTTCGTCAACTCAATCAGCATCTGCTGTGCTGAAATGCGCAACCGAGTGTCGTGCTGTTATCCGTGGCCTTGCTTTAGGGGTTTCTTATCTCTGTCCCTCTTATTTGCTCGTTTTCTCCTGGTTTCTGGCTCGTTTTGGAACATTTCTGGGCAGGGTTGTGAGGATGCCATAGGATGACAGCACGGTTGGGTTAGAAGTGACCACGCAGCCCCCAGCCCAACCCATGGGCTGGCTGCCCCCCATCAGCTCAAGCTGCCCAGGGCCCCACCTGTAATCTATGAGTGGTATATACCTATCATTTATTGATAAATATATACGATCTAATGCTATCCCATTATGTATATATTCAACATTTTGGATTATTGGTAGTGGGTGAAACCTCTCCCACTTCCCACTTAATGTTGGCTGCTCGGGGACTTCCAGGTTCTTTGTCCCAGCCCATACCTGGCCAGGACTCCTGGAGCTGATGCATGGGGGAGGAATGTGGGAGGGAGGGGCTCGGCTCCATGCCTGGCTCCACCTTCCTGCAGCCACAGCTGGGGGAAATTGGGGAAGGGGTGGGTGCTGGGGCTGGCATTGGGAGGAGGGCTCCTGTGCTGGCCCAGATTGTAGAATGATAGAATCATTAAGGCTGCAGAAGACCTCTAATTAGGATCCCCAAGCCCAGCCCAGCCCCACCATACCCACTGCCCACGTCCCTTAGTGCCACATATACACTTCTTTCCAGCACCTCCAGAGACAGTGAGCCCACCACTCCCTGGGCAGCTGTGCCAGTGCCCGACCACTCTTTTGGAGAAGAAATTCTGGTCTTCCCCTGGTACAACTTGAGTCCATCATCTCTCATCCTATAGCTGTTCCCCGTGAGCAGAGGCCAGCAGCATCCAAGCACAAAGGCACGCACATGGGGAGGGGTGGGGACATCCTGTCTGCATGGAGAGCACCCGGGGGACGCTCCATGGTGGGAATCGTTGGGATGCCCAATGAGTATAGAAGAGCTGGGGAGTGTGAGGATGAGCTGAAAACACCATGGGACATTTATACAGACCCAGCAAGGGCTGGGAGCCAAAAATAAAGCTACCAGCACAAGGGTGAGCCCTGAAACGTCCGTGTTTGTTTGCTCTAGGGATGTGTGCATGCAGCGGATCTGCACAGTTTTGGCACTTTCTGTGGAGAGAATCCTCACCCTTAAGAGCATCCAGATGATGTATGAGATAATATGATTTCTCCATCGCCTCTCTTTGTATCACAAATGGAGATAAATGGCTTTTCCTCAGCTGGGAAAACCCAATGGTGAGAGCCATCCCAGTTGGGCACGCGTTGCGGATGCTCACGGATGCGCTTTGGTGCCCACATGGTGAACAGCCTAAAATCACCAATGGGTTTCCCTTGCGCCCTCTGAGCTGCTGGCAGTGGGAAGGGAAGCAGACATTTCAGCACGGCTCTCACGTGCCCAGCTGCTTTTTATAAGTAGATTTCTCTGAATCGTGGAAACATCCGCATCCACCCGAGCAATGTGGTCCACGGGGAAATGCTGCAGATCTGTCAGCACCGCCGCGGTTCCCAAAGCAATCTGAGTCTTCAGAAACAAGAGCCTCAACAGTGTCAAACTAATGTCAAGCATCTGGCTCTGCAAAGACTATAAAAATTACAAGCTATGGCTGAGCGCAACCTCTTGCTCCCTGCCCTGCTTGCACGCTACAATCTCTCCTGCAAATCCCTTTCATTGGGCTTTTACCCCTGTTATAGCATCCTCAGCAGCAGGGCTGATGGGTGAGGGAGAGCAAAGGTCCTGGGATTTCGGAGCTGGTCACGCGCAGCCCAGATAGAGCTATGGCAGACCATAAATCTGAGCACAGCTCGGGTGCAGAGAGCAGCCCCCGCCCGCCCTGCTGGTGTTGTGGTTCTGCCAACTCATGGCTGAAAGAAAAACTCCTGAAAAGTGAAAGAAGTTTGTTTCTCTACTCTGTGAGCCGGGTCTTGCAGCGGTCAACACGCCAAGCCACAGTGTGCAGATATGGAAAAAAGCTTGGAGAAGAGAAGGCTCTGGGGAAACCTCATTGTGGCCCTCCAGTACTTGAAGGGAGCAGATAAACAGGAGGGGAAACGGCTGTTTGTGAGGGTGGATGGTGACAGGACAAGGGGGAATGGTTTTAAAGTGAGACAGGGCAGGTTTAGGTTGGATATGAGGAGGAAGTTTTTCAGCCAGAGGGTGGTGAGGCACTGGAACAGGTTGCCCAAGGAGGCTGTGGATGCCCCATCCCTGCAGGCATTCAAGGCCAGGCTGGATGTGGCTCTGGACAGCCTGGGCTGCTGGTTGGTGACCTGCACACAGCAGGGGGTTGGAACTGGATGAGCACTGTGGGCCTTTGCAACCCAGGCCTTTCTGTGATTCTATGGAGATGGGAACATCCCAGAGCAAGGATGCTGAGCAAGAACGAAGGAGATTAACAGGGCACTGCTTTTCTTCCCACTCTTGCAGCCCTCCTGCAGCCTGCATCCATTTGGGAAAGCCCAGAGGAATGACAAAGGCTGAGGCTCTTCCTGATGCAGCCACTGATGCAGATGCCACTGGTGTGCATGTGGAGGCTCCTGCTGCAGGCACAGAGCTCTGTGAGCCCAAGGGTGCTGCACGGAGAGGAGCCTGGCTGAGCCCTGCACCATCCCTGTCTCTTCCCCATCCCCATTCCTGTCACTATACCTATTTCATCCCCTACTGTATCCCTGTCCTCATTCCTTTCTCCATCCCCATTCCCATTCCAATCCCTATTCTCATCCCATCCCCATCCTCATTCCCATCCCCATCTGTATCCCTGTTTCCATCCCAGTCTCCATCCCTATCCTCGTCCCCTTCCCCATTCTCATCCCCATCTCCATCCCTATTCTCATCTGATCCCCATCCCATCCTCACCTGTATCTCTGTTCCCATCCTCATCTCCATCCTTATCCTTGCCCCCGTGCCCATCCTCATTCTCACCCCATCGCCACCCATGTCCCTGTCCCCATCTCTGTCCCCATCCCCATCCCCATCCCACCCCACTGCTGTCCCTGTCCCACAAGGTTTGTGCAGCACACACTTGTGCTGACCGTCCTCAGCTGTCTCACTTTCCCCAGCCTCCATAAACAGCCCCTTCACACACAAACCTCTCCAGCCATGTTTTTCCCAGCAAGACCTTCCTGTCTGCTGAACTTACCTTTTAAAATCACTATTATTAATTTTTTTAATTATTTTTTTATTCTCCCCAATGCCAGCACCAGGGCACACTGGGCCTGGGGTTATATCTCCTATGGGTGGGAGGGGAGGGCAGGAGGGCAGGAGGGGACGGCCAGGACAGATGTGAGATTTCAAAGCGGACACAGCCTGGAGCACAGCTGAAAAGAGCTCTGGCTGTGTTTACACGAAGCCATTCCAGAGCTGTTTGCTTCTGCCTGTGTTTATCCACAGATATTCGTGCTACCAGAGCTTTGGCCCCATGGATCACTGAGGGTTGGTGGAGTTTGTTGTGCCGAGTGGATGTATACATGAGAGCTTTTGTCTGCCGTGAGCGGCTGCCATTTCCTCCCCTACAGACCTTTTCCATCCAACTGGGGATGGGAGCAGCTCCTTTGAGGCCGTGATGGCTCTTGGTTGGCCCTGGGGAGCCCACATCCAGGGCTCTCTGCACCTGGCCCAGTGTTCCCATGTCCCTGGCATGGGCACCAGCCCATCACCTCTGTCCCCTGGGGCTGCCCCCAGCTGTGCCTCCGCAGCCCCCACTCCCATTGCAGGACCGTGTCCATGGGGTGGATAGGGAATCACAGAATCAATAAGGTTGGAAAAGACTTCTGAGATTCCCAAGCCCAACTCCAGCCTATTCCCACCATGCCCACTGTCCATTTCCCTCAGTGCCACATCTCTGTGGTTCTTGGACACCTCCACCACTTCCTGGCCAGCTGTGCCAGAGCATCACCTCTCTTTCAGAAAATAATTCCCCAGCATCCAACCTGAACCTCTCCAGCACCATTTGAAGAGCACAAAGATGCTGAAGATGAGGATGGAGAAGAGGCAAAATGCTTCCTGGCACGTCTGGCTGCTGGAAACGGCTGTGCAGGTTTCCCTGCAGGCAGTACTGCCCGAGATGGGACAGCAGCCCCAGGAGAGCCAGGGCTGCTCAGGAGGCCACTTCCCCCTCTGAGCATCCTCCCAGTGCCTTTCCCCTCTGCTGAGCCATTGCACAAGAGGGGCACTGGGGCCGCTCTTCCTCCTGTGCATGACTCTTTCCTGCTCGTGCTCCCCAACAGCAATGGTTGCAACTGCCCCGTGCCTCCAGACTATGCTTTTCCTTAATGATTTCCCAGTGTGTGATGGATGCACTGCAATCATGAGTATGAATCACGAAGATTTGCAATGTTTATAATTAATAATCTCTCTTGGAGAGGGAGCTGAAGCGGGCTGCTGTGGCACATCCCTTCTGTAAGAGGTTTTCAACTCCACATCCATCATCCAACTGCTCTTTCAGGGAGCTCAGCCCTTCCCAGGCATCGCGATGGCCTCAGGATCCTCTGCAACAGGGACATGGCTGCAGCCAGCAGGCTCCATCCTATGGCTCCCATGCTATTTTCCTTCTCGGGGTGAGCAGCTCATGTTTTCTCACATTTTTCTGAAGTCACTCTGTGTTTTTAGAAGGGTGCACTAAGCTGGGAAGGATTTTTTCGCAGGACTGTGTTTGCTTTGGGCACCGCCTCTGCACTGCCATGCTCCAAGCACTGTTCTACACTCTGTTGAACTGTGTTGTCCCCCTGCTCAGATTTGCTAGAGCCTAGCTGGAGCCAGAGGGCATGGGGACAGAGCAGGATTGTTTGGCTGATGGAGGGCAGAGCTTTGACAGGAGTGGGAAGGAAAACAGGGAGCTTCACAGCCTTGGCTTTACCCCAGGGCTTGGTACTGGGCATGTGTTTCTAACAGGGAACATTTTGGGGGGAGTCTCCATTGTTGCTGGGTGTCACTGCGAGGTCCTCATCCTTCCTGAGGGTCTAAGACTCTCACAGGGTATGTTTCAGAAAATGGAGATGGAGATATTCAGCTTTGGGATAGAGATGTTCAGCACTGGGATGGAGATGTTCAGCAGTGAGACAGAGAGATGGAGATAATCAGTGTTGGAATGGAGATGTTCAGCATTGGGATGGAGATGTTCAGTCTTGAATTCGAGATGTTCACTGTTAGGATGGAGACATTCAGCATTGGGATGGAGATGTTCAACTGTGGGATGAAGACGATCAACATTGGGATGGAGATGTTCAGCAGTGAGACAGAGAGATGGAGATAATCAGCATTGGAATGGAGATGTTCAGCATTGGGATGGAGATGTTCAGTGTTGGGATGGAGACACTCAGCATGGAGATGGAGATGTTCAGCAGCCATCAGCAGCCTGCTTGCCCACCCCAAACTCATCTCAAGTGACCACTGCCCTGTAACAAGAGTGGAGGAAATTCAAACCCTTAGCTTTAGACCAGGTGAAATCTTCCTTATCATAAAAAGGAGACGGGGTGGGGGTGTCCACATTTCCCACCTGGGTGTCCCCACATCCCACATCCCACCCACATTTTGCCGGTGCCACCAGGAGGTGGAAGATGTGGGGGCAGCAGGAGCAGTGGGCTGTGCTCTGGGCTGGGCTGCTGAGCCCATGAGCATGGGGAAATAGCTGGGAAGAGCCAGCTGGCCCTGCTCCTCCAGCACTGCTGCATTGCCTGGCCGGAGAATAGTTGAAGCTTTGCCATGAGGAGCCTGGCTGTGTTGCAAAGCCCTTCCCATTCCCTGGGAATCGGGCAGCAGAGAGAAAGCAAAACGCCGGAGATCTCGTCCTGGCTGGAGCTGTGTCCTGTTGTCTTCAGCACAAATATAATTATGGTGCACGTCATTCCAGTGATACGACCCAAGGGCTCTGTGTCCTGTGATCCAGAATGGTGGGGATAGGTGACACCACAGCAGTGTTATGGCCACCAAACAGCCCAGCTCCTGCCCCATACCCAGCTGCAAATCACAGGGCGAGGAAAGAAGAACCCGCAGTGTTTCTGGTGGCTTTCCCTTCATAGATCCTGGGTTTTGATGTCATGGTCACACTTTCGGATTCCATCCCCCATTGCATTGAGTGCACCATCCCAATAAACAGCTCCCAAGGTAAATCTGAGCTGTGCAGGGACCTCAAACCAACTCCTGGTGCTCCTCAAGGGCTGCTGCACCTTCAGTGCCTCGCTGCTGCCTCCGTCCTGAGCCAACGGGAACAGCAATAGGTCCCTTTGGGTCCTTGCTGACCCCAGCCCCCTGGATTTGTGCTCTATAGGGCTGTGAACTTCTGTTTGTTGCACGTTTCGTTAAAGGCAGCGGGGTTATGTGCAGTCTGGGTGTGAGCTGGGCTCACGCCCACACTTGGCCATGGGTTGGGTTTTGACACCTTTTGGAAACCGCATTCTTCCCAGGGCAGCCAGCGGTGGTTTGGGGAAAAAAGAGGGGTTTTTAGCAGGAGGGAAACACGGAAACATGTGGACTGGAGCAGCGCTCTGTGCTTGTCATCGCCGCCAAGGAACCGGATCCAGATGCCACCGGTGCCTGGTGCCTGTTTGGTGACACAGATCCGGTTGTGTGCCAGGCTTTCAGAGCAGGATGCCTGCCATAGGGATCTGCTGCATCCCTCAGCCTCTTCCCCCACATATCCCTTAAGCAACACAGCCAGCAGTGTGTGCATTGGGGATGTGGTGGCAGGACCTGGGGTCACCAGAGTGCACGTTCCCCCGGGCTCCAGCTGTGCTGATGTCCCGTGAGGGCTGGCAGGCCTGCACCTGGCTGGGTGACTCAGCACACCCCCAGGAGCCAGAGGGCTGCCCGGCTCTGCATATGCAATAATTGCCCATGGGAGTGGGCTGAGTCACCGCGTGCCCGCACAGCTGGCGGCCGTGAGCACATCTGGCTGCCCTGCAGAGGAGAGCTGCTGTTCTGGCTGCAGTTGTGCTCACGGCCATGCAGGGCCATGGGGATTTGGTGTCTCCAAGAAGCTCAGCAAAAAAGCACAATAGACCCTGCACACTGTGCAGGCAGGAGCTGGCCCTGCTCTGTCCCCCGAGCTGGGTGGCTCACGCTGCTGCCCATGGACACTGTCACTGTTCCAGCTTTGCTCCTGAAAACATTTGCATTTATTTTTGGGCAATATCTGCCTTTCTAAATATTTGCCTTGGTGTTAGTGCCTGGCCTGCTCGCAGCTGGGGCTCCTTCCTCTGCTCACCTCTACACCGGGATGAGATCCTAGCAGAGCATCCTCCAGCTGCACCCCTGGGGTGCCCCTTGCCCAGGGCCCCTCCTCTCCTCATGGGCCCCACATCCCCAAGGGTGCCCATAGGATCACCACATCCCCCAAGCTGCACACAGGGTTACCCAGAGCATTTTGAGGGTCACCCATCCTTCTGAAACTCCCATTTGCCAGCACAGGCTGTTCCCAATGAGCCCAGCTGCTGGAGACAAGACCCCAAGACAGGAAACTCAACAGGACTCCAAGGAGATGCCATCCCTCTCCTCCTGGCAGGACAGGTCACAGAGGAACACTGGGACAGGGACATGATGGATTTAATCCCCACCTGAGTGCAAGGAACTGCAGCGACTTGTCCATGGCTTTGCCCTCTCTGAGGTGGTCCTGTTTTTCCTCCATTCCAGGTGCATATGCAGCACAAGTCCATCAAGTCCAGCTCTGTAGTTTGGGCTTCTGCCAGCAGCAAGGAACAAGACCGAGTTTAGCGATACAATTATTTGTGTTGCAAGCAAGCCAAGAAATCCATGGCCAATGGAACAAAGGGCCGTCCCCACCTCTACTCCATGTTGGACATGGCCCTCCAGGCCAGGACCCTTCCAGCACAGCTCCTTTCTTACCACTGAGGACTGAATCATGGTGTTACGGCCGTTCTTTCAACATACAGAAGGGATTTGGCAACCCTGTGGGCTATTAATAGAGCCGGGCTGTTTTCTGAGAGCCCCGCGTTGTGTTGAGAGCAAAGCAAACTGTAAGAGGCAAAGCACTGAGTTTACCTAAGGAGAGGTCAGGTGAGTGAGGAAACAAGCTGTCGGGGAGCAGGAACCAGAGCAGTGCCCTCTCCTCCCTTATCGTGTCCTGTCCCAGCGCTGGCTCCGCTCAGCCAGGAGGGAACAATGAACAATGAGCAGCCACGTGGCACTGCAGGACTCGCCACCTGCGCTCCGTCCCCACTTCTGCCTTGGTTGGCCCATTCTGATTCCTGCTTTTCCAACTTGAGCTCCTCTTCTTCTGGCTTCTCAGGCTGGGCAAGTTTCCTATATGGACACCCGCATCACTCAGCCTGGGGACGGAGCGAGACACCTCAGGGCTATGGATGTAACCCCAGGAGGAGATGCTGGGATGTGACATCTGTTTGTTGGGAAGGGAAAATAGAGCAAGAAGGTGTTTGGGGAGGAAGGAGGAGGGATCCAGCCCGTCTGGCTGAGCAGGACACACATGAAGCCATCTGTGGCAGCTGCCCTGTAGTGAACCACAGTTCCCATCTCTCCCCTGGCCACGATCGGGAGCACAGCTGTATTTTCATCAATGGAAGCATCAGGCACACATCCTCAGCAATAAGGAAACCCGGCCCGCCCCACGGCCACTCGTTATCTCACATCCCAGCTCCATCCTGCACCCTCCCTGTCCCAGACGTGCGTCAGCACAGCTCCTCTGCCACCTCTGGCCATGCCAACACCACACCAGCTCCTTCCCTTCTCCCATCTGCTCCGAGCCCTGGGATTGCAGCCTGATGCTTTGTGTCACCCTTTTAAAATTGGATGTTTCTGAATGAGGGCTGAGGCCCACCTGCCTTGTGCCCCTCACCACCAGGGCTGTTCAAGAGAGCCTCAGCTGATAGCTCTTTCCCAGCCACAGCTCCAGGAAGGCTGCCATCCTCCTCCTCCTTCCCCCAGCCCCGCCAGACGCTCCATCCCTGTGGCACCAGGAACTGATGAGCACAAGTGACACAAGCCAGGCCACCAGCTCTTGTCTTGGTTCACATCCTGGCAGCGCTGGCAGCTGCCCACACACAGGCACATGTGTCCTTCCCATGACATCTGCTCCTGCATGCTTCCTCCTGTTGCAGCCACATCTTTAGCCATCCTACAGCTGTATTCCCATTGCACAGCCACAGTAAGGTCTGTGGCCATTGGTGGTCTGGGACACTGAGGCAGAGATGGTTGAGAACAGCAGATTTGGCATGTGTACCTTCGATCCCACCTGAGAAAAGCTGTGGTTCACCCAGAGGGTCACAAAGCTGCAAGAAGAGACGTGACTGCTTTCTGATGTCCTGTGGGGACCATGGTCACGCAGCCAAGCCCCCAGGGCTGGCTTCCAAGGGGATCAGTCTGCTGCCCACCAGCTGAGCCACAGACCAGGAACACTCCATAACAGTTCTAAAAGCTCATTAAACGTGAAAAGCACAATGCTCATCCTAAATGCTCCCTTAGTCCCTGCAGTGAGCACTCCTCTCCTTCCCTGCTGATGAGGATGGCTGCTCAGTCAGACCACAGCTCCTGGAGCACTCCGTACAGTGCTGGGCACTGAGTTAAACTGTTTTGCACTCAAACACAGCCACGTAATCCTCGTTTTGTATCCTTATTTTATCTTCTGTTCAATCAAAGACACCTCAGACACCTCTCAGCTGCCCTGGGATGCAGAGCTCTTCTTCCTCAGCTCTCTTTTCACTTGGGGCCATAAGCATTTATTATTTCTTTCCATGTTGGTCTTCCCAGAGCCACAGCTACTAAAACGAACACAATGCAGGACTGCTGCTGCCAGTGAATGAGAAGGCTGTAAGATGCAGACAACAAACTGCTCTCAATATGCAGAACATTTTCTCTCTATATGCACATATCCTGGTACCTGCATGCCTGTAAAGATTCCTCCATGCCATAAGTGCCCGCTTGAGCTACACAACAACAAAGATATTTTGTGCTTAAAGAAACAGCCAAACCAGCACCAAACCCATGCGACCTGATGCAGCCCAGGACCCTGACCCACACCTGTGCTCAGGGCCAGCAGCCCCACCTAACACAGCTAATGGCCATGAGATGTGGCCAAGCATGTCTCCTCCCTGGTGCCTACAGCAGTGGCTGCAGAGAGCTGCTGGCTGAGCTCAGTGCTCCTGGCACCTCCCTGCTGGGAGGCTCAGGGCTGGGGGACCCACTGGTGATATGGATGCTGAAACCCCTAGAGCTGTGAGCCCCCCAGCCCTTAGGCTTTCTGCAGCCACTGCCCCCCCAGCAGCAAACAGGCCCTCAGCCATCAGCACCCCCACAGGGTATCAGTTTCCTGGACCCCCATTGCTTTGATGGCAGTTCTCCAGGATCAATTAAGCAGCATAACGAGAGGCAGCAATTCTTCCAGGCAGAACTGAGATGTGGCACTGACCCCTAGTGACAGGTTCCTACTTGGATGCTGAGCGAAGAAGATCTGTGATAAAAAATGACACGCAGCCAAAAGCAGCGGGGATCCGGGAAGGCTCCTGGTATTGCACAAAATCTGCTAAGTCAGTGATCCTCCTGCAACTGCACTCAGCAGCTAAGGAGCCTTCCTGGAAGCCTGCTTCCATCCTAGACACGCTGGTCCAGGACACAAATGCAGATCTCAAGTTGAACTTGAGATAAGAGTTTATTTAAGAAATGAGTGAAAAACCCAAACATTGCACTTTGTCTGCCTGAAGAGTGATACAGTAAGAGGTAAAGCAGCCACCAGTGCTGGGATAGTGCTGGAAATGACCCGTGTACAGGTCATGGAGCACAGTGTTACAACTTCGAGTTGCAGAGGAATGATGGGAACTCAAAGAGGCTGTGCTTGCACACTGACCTACTCCTTTTCTTGGGAAAATGCAGTTGCATGGAAGACTGTGTACTGCATACTACAGTTTATTACTTTAAATACATACATTCTGGCTCTGAGCCTGTCAGAGTCCAAAAATGGTCTGTTTCAATTACGGGCTGCATGGAGGGCACAGGACTAATGGTCTATTCCTTGGCATTTCAAAATATTCCCATCTATGTGGGCTGCCTGCAGGACGAGAGAGACTTCACAGGGCTCTCAGCAGATCCTTAACATCATTTTTTCCCCTCACCAGTAGCTTCAGAGCCATAAGGAGGGGGAGGATCTGACCCTCCCCTCACATCTCAGCAGGGCTGTGGAACAGAGCAGATGTTTACTAAAGGCAGTGGGAAGACTGTTGTGGCCATTAGTGGAATTAGACAAAGCTTTCTTCCTAAAACATTGCTCTGCCCAGGTCATATCCCATGCTATCTTGCAGCACAGAATCAGAGAGTCCCAAGGAAAGGAGCAGAGGCTGAAGTGCCACTTCCCCACGCCCCAAATCTCCCACTCATCACCAGAAGGATGTGAAACAGCTCTGTCCCACACTGGCACCACCTGTCCCCAGCACTGCCAGCCTTGCCTCTCACTTCTCTCCCCTTATCTCTGCACTGGTCTTTCCGCAGACCTCATTTCCTGCACCATCCTTGGCTCAGAAGGCACCAACCTCACTGCTGTTACCGAGACCAAAGAAAAATAGCAGAAGCTGTAAATAACCCCCTGGGCTCACAACCAAGAAAATGCCAGCATTGAGCAAAGCCATCTTCCAATCTGCCCGCCTTTGGGCTTTGCTGGCAAATTTTTATTTTGGGTACTCGCAGCTGTTGTGATGACCTGGGCTCTTCATAATAAAGCTGCTTTAGCCAGATATGCTGTTACTCCTGGGAATGAGAACACTCATGGATTCAGTTCACCACTCAGGTGTAAACAATCGCATGTCAGTTTAAACACTTCAGCCTTCCAGCCAGAGGTATGTTTGCCCTTCCAGCTCTGCACAGTTACCGTGCAGATTTAACTGTTTATGGAGAGCAGAGCTTGCCAATACAGGTCTGTAGAGCCTCTGCTGAAACGAAGGGAAGATGAATGTTCTTTATCCTGGAATCACTCACTCTCTTCCTGCTCAGATATACAGAAGCTGTGAAGAAAAGCTGCAGTGTTTCAACTTTTCTGGGATAATTTCTGTGTGGGCAAGCCCTCAGCACGCCAAGTGAGCTCACTCTGCCTCTCCATTAATGAACAGGCAGGCAGAACTCAGCAGCAACCTTCATGAAGACCTGCTCTCACAACTTACTGTGAAATGCAACATGGATGCACCCAGGAGGGCCAAGCTACATGTCATATGGATGTGTTTCTGCTATCAGAAATCACAGGTACCACAGAACTACCAACACACTGCAACACAGAACTTAGACTGAAACTTAAGGGCCATTTCTGTTAATTTACAGTTGAACTCACTTCTCTCTCTGCTGCAAAGGCTCACTGAGGGCTGAGAAAGCAAGAGAGCGTTCTGGGCACTGTCCCACAGCCTCCCACTCTCACAGCTCACTGTGCCTCCTGGCCTGCTTTTCCCTCCCTGCCAACCTCGGGGCTGTCCCCCGCAGGTCCCTCCCAGGGCCCTGGGCTTTCTCTGCTGTCACCCCGACTTCCTCACTCAGTTCCTCTCTGACTGTGGCTTTTTCTTCAGAGCCTTCCAGCTGCTGCTGCTCCTGTCCATCCTTTTGGTGAGAGGAGGTATGGAGGGTGAATTCGGGCCCTGCGGCCTCCATCATCTGGAGGAAATTGTAAGCAGGAAGAGGTGGTTTCCAGTCTTCCTCAGACAGGGTACCTGCAAAGCGAACACGGTCTTTTGTTAATAAGTTAAGAGGCTGTGATGTAACCCACTATACAGTCATTTCCATTTCAAAGCAAATATGGCTTTTCTGCCCTTCCAGTGAATGCAAAATTAAAGATTTTTTAAAGTTCACTCTTTCTTCTCCACCACTAATAATGCCACCCAAACCAAACCAGCCACAGATGCATTAACATTTACAGGAGCAGGCTGAGGGCTCAGCTCCTCAAAGGCTGGCTCCTGTGTCTTCAGACATCAAGCTGTGAATTTTACAAGCAGCAGCACTCTCTCTCTCTACCAGTGAATGGATGTTTCACTCAGATCTCAAATAACTGTGCTAATGACTTAGCATTACTGAAATGCCATTAGGAATGAGGGGAGACTGCTGTCTCTACAGAGAGGAAGCTGTACCATTAAGTGAGGATGCTCTTTAATTTGTGCTTTTAAGGCTGATCACACAGACCTAAAAGCTTGAGCAAGGAGGCTGTGATGGCTGGCAGAGCCCTTGGCCATGCTGCCCAACCACCAGGGCACCCCTTTGGCATGCTGGAAAGCTGAAGGAAGGTCCCTGACTGGAGACCTAAATGACATCCATCCTTTGGCACTGGAGATGGGAAGAGCTGTGGGAGAAGGGCTGGGTCACAGACGATGTCTTTGATTACTGAGAACACCTCCATGTCCTACCTTGCCAAGCTGGTGGTGGCACTTGAAAACAATTGCTGTGAAAGGCTTATTTTAAAATTCAACAAGATCAAACCCCCATCTCCTTTCAGGAGCCTGAAGCAGGCTGTCAGCCAAGTTTGTGGCACCCTATGGCTACACCTAACATATGAGGAAGGCACATTTACACTGCCTTCCTCCAAAGTTTCAGCAGCTGATCAAGGAAGGAAGAGACTTAGTGAAAGGCTTCACAGTCAATGCCAACCCTTGATGTTCCAAAGACCACAGCAAGGCTTCGGCTTCCTCATACTTTCCTGTCTATAAAAATGCTGGAAGTTGCCTAAAGAGAAGCAATTTCTTACGCTAGGACTCTGGAGATTTTCTTATTAGCAAGCAATGTTTCAGCAGGTCTGTTCTCAGCAATCGGAAAGCACAGCCAGGTTTGGGGATTAAACAGGGAAGAGATGCCGATTCAGAACTATTCATGCTTGGCTCTGAACATTAAACAGTCCTGCAGCAAACTCGTGAGTGAGGGTATTCTGTTCTGGCCGGACGATTTGTACTGCTCCAACTCAAACGAGAATAGCTAGTTTTTCCATAATTAAATTCCAGGACAGACAATTTATTGCACGTAGCATCTTCTCATAAACAGACCAAAGCTAACAGTGCATGCTTAGGAACATTTCAAACGCTCATCCACTTACTGCTGGGAATCTCCAGTCCTGCCTTCAGTTTCTCCAGCCAAGACAAGACGTTCATTTCAGTGATAGACTGCTCTGATGGGAACTTAAATACTTGACCTCCAGCATGAAGGTTCACCCAGACAAGAGCAGGCAATGAAGGTATGGTGGCAAAGTACGCCTTCAGGACCCCACGGCCCACTGGAGTGTTCTTCCTGTTGGGGAGATCCAACAACATGCTCAACAATAGTTTGGCAGCACAATATGAACCCAGGTCAAGGAAGCACTAAAGCTCTTGGGCTACATTCAGCAAAACATGTGCACACTATTTTACCTATGGGACAGCTGTAGAAGTTCACAGCTCAAGGACTTAAGCCCTTATTGTCTAATGGATAGGGAGTGGACAGCAGAACAGATGAGTTAAGAAACCCTCTAGCAGAAGGAGCAGGGACAAATTTTGCTGGGACAAATTCTGCACAAAGGTGTGAAATCTTCTCCACCACAAGATTTTAAGAGCAAGTCAGATGGGAATGACACACTGTGGTTAACTCTTGTAGTGCTGGACATCTGCTGTGGGAACTACCAGCTCTTGTCACCACCCTGCAGCTGCAGCAGTCACAGCAGGTAGAAGTGGTATGAGCTGATGCAGAGGGCTGTGCTCATGCAGTCCAGTCCTTTGGCATCTATGGAGTGGTTTCCTGCAGTCAGTGGGCAGAGACAAGGAGTTGGAATAGCAATTCCTCCAAGTGACACAGGGAGAGCCAAAAGAGGACATCCAACTAAAATGGAGGGTCAGCGAGGACACAGAGATGATGAGTCTTTCAGGCACTATTTTCAGGCTCAGTGATGCACAGGGTCTGAGTTGGCTTTCACCATGGGAATAAGGTCCTCTTTCTAGGACTATGTTACTCTTTTAAAGCCAGTGACCATTTGCTGCCCTGGCAAAGGACAGCTTATTCTTTCTCAGCAAAAGAGAACAGAGGCAGATGTGTAGGTGGGGAAGTTCCAGGGACTCTCATTTCTTGCGCATTACTGGCAAACAAAGTTAGCTAAACTCCAGCCCACGCTGCTAGGCACTTCCCAGACTTCAAAGCACGCTATGATTAAGACAGTGAGGTGTCTCTGGGCTTGAGCAAAATAATCAGATGTTAAAAACTGAAAACTTACACAGGAGGGGAGGATTAAAAAAAATCCCCTTTCCTATCGTTTTTTTAAATTTCATTTCTTAGTTCCTGGATTCATTTTGTTTCTCGATTATTTTTCAGGTTTGTCTTATAGAGCTTCTTCCAGAAACTTTTATTTTTCCCCACAGTCAGCAGTCACTAATTGGCCCATTGTGTATCACACTAATTGCTGATGGAATAATTATCTTAAGATGCTCTAGGAGGGTAAATTTACTTCTTTTCTTCCACGTGTAAAAAAATAATAACTTCAGGTCCATGGTGAAGCTACCATGCAGCATCCTCGAGAAATTTTACTCTACTGGCAATTACTTCTGCAATCAATTAAGGTTTTTACTAATTTTACTTTTTTGTGCAATTTTGCAGCTGCCCAGAATACATACTGAATCACTGCTAAATGATTTGGCCTCCCAACCCATGATGATTTCAAACCAAATGATCACATTACCACATAGATAGTGTTTTGAGTAATTGCAGACTCTGTTTTTTCCTTGCCCTGCAATGCTAAGAGCAAGGTAACGGAAAGAAACAAAGAGGTTTTAGCATACTCACAAGTTCAGCCAGCATGACACAAATGTTTGCTGAGATTTCTCTTTTGCCAGTTTCAGCATTTCCTTGCTTTCTGTTTGACCAATGTCACCATCGCTAAACAAGATGAGGAAAGGCTTTCTGAGTTGCAAGTAGTGGGGCAGATTTTGCACGGTGATTTCTGGCTGCAAGACACCAAAACAAGAAGTTGGGGTCTAAGGGGAGGAGGGAGCAAGACAAAATTAGACTTTCTGTTCTTACATGAGTGGGTCAGGGGCTGAGCAAAGGGGTTAGTGTTGAATGCAAGAATCTCAAAATCAAATGTGGATTTGGGGACTTCAGTGCACTTTGGATATGCCTACACCCATCCATTCCTGTCACAAGGCAAGTCTGAATGAGAAGCTGTGTACTTTGAGATGAATGGGTGGAGCAGAAAAGCAAAGCAGGCTTCATCCAGCTTATGTGCAGGGAACAGGCCTTGTAAGATGCCTACAACAGTAGGTCTGGGACTAAAAGCACCAGCCAGCCAACCGACTCCCAGGGCCTCCTCCCAAGGGACAACACTACAAACAACACATTTCTGGCCAGACTGTTGGCTCCAAGTCATAAAGGATAAAAACAATGGGAGAAATAATGAGCAAATGTATTTATTTTGCAACTTCAGTGCTGCAATCAGCGCTTCTGAAAATGACTTCAGTGGAAAAAAGACACGTTTCTTTTACTTACAAAAAGGTCCAGCAGTTCATATCTGATCATCTGCACGATGTCCTGTGCAGTCTGCTTGGACAAAGCGATGCCTTCCACGCTCTGACTGCTGCTCCTGGCAAGGAGGAGGGCAGGAGGAGACACTGCATATTTATGGGACCTGAAAAAAATCCAGCCAACTCACAGCAGGTACCAAACATACACAAACTATGTTTTAAACTGAGACAGGGCAGGTTTAGGTTGGATATGAGGAGGAAGTTTTTCAGCCAGAGGGTGGTGAGGCACTGGAACAGGTTGCCCAAGGAGGCTGTGGATGCCCCATCCCTGCAGGCATTCAAGGCCAGGCTGGATGTGGCTCTGGGCAGCCTGGGCTGCTGGTTGGCGACCTGCACACAGCAGGGGGTTGGAACTGGATGAGCAGTGTGCTCTTTTGCAACCCAGGCCTTTCTGTGATTCTATGATTCTATGATTCTATGACTTGAGCTCCATGGGCATTGATTTTTGGCAGTTTTGTGCAGTTTTGGTGAAGTTCAGCAAACATTACAGCAACAGACATATCCTGTGAGTTACTCTTATCAAAGAAACCAGCCCCTCTGTTGTTCCCCAATATTCTTTGGATAAAAGAGTTCAAGGGCATTAAAAGAAAAGCTGAGCAGGTGGAAATAGCAAAAATAGGAGAAGTCTGAGCAATGAAAGAGCACCACACCAAGATGGGCGAGCAATTTTCTGGAAGTTTGAGGAAGTTCACCCTAAAGACTCCAGATGTCACCACCCAGAGGAAGGGTGAAACAGAGGAAGTGAACAGCCCCAGCTGTTTCTTGGGGGTGTCTGTAGTTTATCTTTCAAAGTCTGCTGGTATTTCTTCAAAGGCTGTGACACCAGCCTTGCTGGTGAAGTCAGCCTGTGTGAGAGAAACGTGAGGGCATTTGGGCCTCTGATTTCCTTTTCAAGGGTAGCCTGGTCTGCCTAATCTCCTTTTTTCTGTATGAAGAAGATGCAACGTAGGGGGAGATGTGTTCAAACGTGTTTTAAAGATCTCAGTGTTTGGTGTTTCAGGCCACAAAGACAAATTAGATGAAGATGACAGCAGATAAGACATTTCCGCGATGTTCAGTTCAAATGCAGACCTTTCACTTCGCCCCTCACTGCATTTATCTGTTGGGAAGAAACACACCCACTGCACATCTGCTAAGGGGAACCCCAGATCTGCACTGGTATCTTGACAAGGAGTGGCAGTAATGACCTTTCTGAGGCTTTCAAACCTTATGAATCCTTTGCTAAGCTGTTCTTGTGCTCATCAGAGCTTTTTCAGTTTCATTTTTTCTGCTTTTTTTAGTCCATTCTGCTTTGGTTTTCTGTTCATTTCCACACACTCAGGTATGGGACTTTTTTTTTTTTTTTTCCCCCACCAGAACCTTCCCAGTTTTCTACAGATCACAGAAGCACAGCAATTTCTTAACTCCCATCACACTGTGACACCAATGGAAAGCCAGACACTCCAGGAACTCTTGCAGCTCACACCCCAAAGGCCAGGGCTGCACCTCACACATATTTCTTTCCCCTAGAAATACCTGTAAATCCAGCCTTGAGCTGTGCTGTGCCCTTCCTGCCTGGACTCAAGAGCTCCTTGAGTTACCAGCACATTATTTCACACCTCTGGTCACGGCTGGGAATCCTCTGAACTGCTAAGAAGGTCTGTAACTTTCCTTTCAGTTGTTTTTTTTTTAATTAACTTGTATGTGCCTTTGACTGAGAACAGGAAAACCTTACAAATGTTTTAAATTCTGCTCGTTTTGAACTTGTCAAAACTCCTGAAGTCTTAAAGAGACACAGTGGCAGAGTCGTGTCTCCAAGGAGGTAAGAACTCTTGTTTTCTGTGTCTAAACAGATGAACTCATTCAGCAGCCTTTGATAAGGAAGTTCCCCAACACTGCGAGAAACCAACAAATTCCCCACCTAATAACTGGAGTCTACCCTGAAGTCACCTCTGATTTTACCAGTAACATGACCAACACCTATCAAGTGGTTGCACTGTAGCTTATGACAGCTTTCTATTTATATAGCTGGCATTACATGGGTAATACGAGACTTGCATTTAAATCAAAAACATCTGCAAACAAACGCTTGGCAGGAATCTGCACCATCTAAATATGTGAGAAATAAATGGCTTCATTCAAAGCATTTCTTCATTGGTGCTTTTTTACATTTGTTCCCAACAGACCAGGTGTTTGCTGAGCAAACAGTTTTGCTAAGAACGTTCTTTGGTGCATTTTGTATACCTTTTCTTCTGGGAAAATGTGGGCAGGGCTCAGTTTTCTGTGACTTAGGAGCCACAAACATTTCCTTAGTGAGAGCTTAGCAGAAAAATAGCTTTTCTTCTCTTGAGAAGGGAAGTGAGCCCGACTCTTGCATAAGGAATTCCTGTAAGTGTTTACTTTCTACTTACACTTGAGAAGATGACCATCTACAGTAGCTTCACCCACAAATCACAGCTAAAAACACCTACCACAGCCAGAATCCAAACTTGGCAGAATGAATATCAATACAAACTGCATTAACTATTCCAAGCAAATAGGAGCACTCTCCAGACTATGGCTTTAGCAGGAGGATGGAGATGTATTCTTGAATGCGTCACTGCTGACAGGACACAGACTTCTGTTGGTGTCATCAAACACACCAGGGATGTGGCACGTCCCTAAGAAACTAACAAAAATAATTCACTGCTATGTTAATGGCTGTTAAAACCCACGCCTGCAAAAAGGGACATTTGGGGATTTTTAATGCTGCACTGGTGGCTAATTCCTGATGGAAATGAGATGCTGGGAGAAGGCGAAGACCCCTTCTGGATCTACCTGCATTTATAAGCACTGAAACATCTCTCACAGCCTAATTCAAAGCACTTTCCTGTTGGTGGAATGAGCATTACCCTTAAGTTAAATGCACAGACTGATGGATTCTAAAGTCCCATTAGCTACAATTTGGCTTAAACTTAGGGCTGCATTTTCCAGCACCCAGACACAATTCCTATTCCACTGGTAGCCAAGAACTCCTTAGAAGAAGGCATGGGCAGCACAAAGACTCTTTTGGTTACTATTTGCAAACAGGGTCAACCACCAGAGCAAGACTCAAATTTACACCTCTGGCTTTGCAGCATCCCCCCCTACACTTCCCTTCCTTACCATCACGTGCACTTCTGCAGCATCAGAGCACAGAAGACAGAAAAAGAAGGTGCAGAGAAGGCAGAAATAGGCAGAAAAATAGCAAGTCTGCATTTCTTCTCAAAGGAAAGAGAAGGGCAGAACTCGTTTTGAGAATTCTCGAGAATTTCTTCCTCACATTCTGATCCTAGCTAAAAGATAACATTTTTCCAGCCTGTTTTTTCCCCATATACGTTTGGTCTTGTTTATCAGGGAACCCAACAGATGCATGAGGGACTGGCAGGGCTAGAGGACTAAAAATACCCAGAGTGAACCTGAACAACAGGAAGGGAGCTGACAGGTCATAACAACGGGGTTAAATAGGTCACTTGTGGAAGGGCTGTAAATCAGCAGCCCAGTCACTGCTCCATCTCTCTTTGGCAGAGTCCTGAACAATCTTGCTACTGGACTAAGACACTTGTAGATGTTTGGGTTGCTGATAAACACTCAGCATGGGCAGAGACACTTGCTTTAGGCAGTAGCTTTCACTAAACGCAGGTCAGTTTGAATTGTCACCAAAGAAAAAAACAACTTACAAAGCCAAGACATCATCTTCGAAATACATCCCTGTTGTTACATGTCCACTTAAGATGCTTCCTGCCTCTGCGAAGGCTTCCCTGACTGTAAAAGAGACAAAGAATCATAAATAAACAATAGAAAGAGAAGTGTCTGCTTCCTTCTGGAAGTCAGATCACCACATCTGCATATGTAACACCCTCCCACAGCAAACTGTCAGCTGTGAACAAAAATATGATTAGCGGCAGATGAGAAATGGATGCATCTCATGGCCACAGGCTACACAAGGGAGGAGTTGGCAGCTACTGAAAGGATGAGAAAGAAAGAGTTCCTATTATGAGAGCAGCGTTTGCTCGTTTGCTCGTTAGCCACCAGCACTGAGTTTCCAGGATCTGCATGACAGAGATGCTGATGGAAAGTGAAATGCCCTTGAGAACTTAAAAGACCATAAGTGGTGTTCTTAGAAACAGGAGACCAATTAAAAGGCTAAATAGAAATCTTATAAATTACATCCTTTTGGATGCATCCTTTTGGAAAAGACTACTGCAGTAGTGTTAAGTGGCCAGCACTCTCTCCCTCAAGTGTCTTTTTGTCTTACTGGGCTTCTCCAAACAGAAGGATCTATTACAACCACCACTGGTCCAAAGGCTAACTACCTTGAAGGCACACTGTGTGCCACTGCTTCTTGCAGCTGCAAGAGAGGGCTTTCCCTCTGCTATCACAGTTCAGAGAGCAGCATCAAACATCCTTAACAGCTGCTAAGGTCCATCTCTCACCTTACAAAGCCAGTGAACTCTGACGATGGGGATAAAAGGTAGACAGTGTGACTCCCTTTAATCCATAACAGCTGAATCTATCTGTGCTGAGAGATTGACAGCAGAACCCCAGAAGGAAGCCAGCTCCAGAGCTGGTTTATGCCCCTATAAAACATCCTCAGTTTTAGGCTACTAGATCTATGGAAAAGACAAACTTTGTGAGAATATGCAAACCACAGTGTGTGAACTTGTAAAATGCACTAGATAAAGATCAGAGAGAAAAAAAACAACACTGCCTAAGTAGGCTGAAAATGGGGCATATTTCAGCTCTCCCACTCTTTATATCATGTAGTTGAAGAGAACAAAAAAGGCTCTTTTCATTTATGGAAGAGTGAGAAATCTCATGTTAGAGAAGTTAGGTTTTCCCATGAGTAGAAGTTACGATTCAGATACAGCTGTGATATATGTTGCTACAGAATTTAAATAAAATCTCATTCAGACATTATTTATTGTTCCTTGTAATGCAGATGATCATGTCAAAACTGGCCAACCCAGGCACTTGGGACCAGTGACTCAGACCTCAGTAAAATGAAGCTGGCTCAAAACTATTCACTTTTTTGTTCTTTGCCTCTGCCTTTCCAGCAAAATTTAAGGATGCATTTTTCATTGTGATCCCCTGGAAACACAAGGGCTACAAGCTTTTCTTTATACTGATTTCTTTTTCAAAAGAAAGCTTGGATCCTTAAAGGAATGGCTTGTTGAGAGTTCAGACAAGAAACAACACGTGCCACGGTGCTTGTGACACAGGTTGCCCAGTTAAGCTTGTAATCATAGGATGGCCTGGGTTGAAAAAGACCACAGTGATCATCTTTTCAACCCCCAAATGCTACAGGCAGGGTCACCAACCACCAGACCAGGCTGCCCAGAGCCACATCCAGCCTGTGGTGTCAAGAAAATTGGAGTCTGACATTGGTTTTCAGATTCACTTGGTCTTCAATCACTTGATGTTGTCAGAGCTGACACAACAACCCAAACGATCAGATGATGAGGAGTAGTGAGAGCTTTGCTCCAACAGCTTCACCAACAAACCCTCTGCTACAGGAGAAAAGGCCATGAGGAAGACTGTGAGCTCTGCAAGGCACGAAAGGACCCAGTGTGATACACAAAGAACAAGCTTAAATCCAAACATCCTCAGGAGAGCACTTCCACTGGCATTTAACTTGAAACACTCACTTGAGACGTAAGTAAGCATGTGCTCAAGTGCTGCCCTGGAGAGGCCTTGGCTGCAGGAATTCTCTCCTAAATCAGGACAACATTCAGCACAGTCCACACTTGGGATTCATAGGCTCGTTTCTGGTGAGATCTTCTCTTCTCATCACGCTCTGCTTTGCAGCTCCTTCCTATCACAATTCCTAAACTGCCAGCATTTTGGGGACGATTTGTGACAGACCCAGTGTCCCACATGGCAGCCTCATAGCCTAAATGCACACAGTTCCACAACAGATACAGAGCACTTCTAAAAATGCTGTTGATCCTAAAAACTATATGAGATGGTAGATTGTGTATTACTTTGGCTTTTTTATTGAGTGAAAGTTTGAAGCTAAGCTGTTTTCTTCCTTTTGCTGGTGTTAACTGCGTCTGCTGCGTGACAATGGACAGACAACACAAGATCTCAAAAAAAGTGAATGGGGATCAATTATTCATCATTTCTTCTAACAGAATATCCAGCAGCCCACAGAATGCTTGGGCATCAGTTACAGGAAAACAGGAAATTCACAGCCATGCGTAAAATCCTCCACAAAATAAAGTCACTGCCAAGGCATGCTGTGGATACCAGGCAGAAATTCTGATTATGCCAACACAAGCCATTAGATATAAAGCAGGAGTGAGATTTCTAGACTAAGGAAGATCCTGAACTGATGATTCCTGGAGTCTAGCTCCATGCTGCCAGGGAAAGAAATCCCTCTGAACACGTAATTCTTTTCCTAAATGTCTGCTGTTGCCATGCTGGAGAGAAGATATGGGTCATGCGGGTCCTTTCTTTATTCTGCCCCAACCTAAGCCTGATCATGAGTTTAAGTGAGCAGTCTGTGCACAGACAAAGCCCCACAAACAACTTCAGATAATGTTTAATGCTTGATTTACAGCGATGCTTGGCAAGCCCTACCACGTTACCAGAAATCTGAGGAGCAGAGGGGTATTCTCAAACAACTGCTGCACATCTTAGGACACAGCCTTCATTCCAAATATGCTTCTGAGTAGCAAATAAACCCCTGTAAAGTTCTCCCATTTTCCAAGAAAATGCTCATTCACTGCCCTAGTAATGCTCTGTATCTCTCTGCAATCCATTTTAATTATGATTTTTCTGACAAGACTCTTTTAGCTCAGATCAACTGAGTTTCTTAATATAGTTCTCACACTAAATGATGGAAAAAATCCAGATCTTCATTTAACTGGACATCTTGTTGCTCTATTTCAGTTAACTGGAAACGACAATGATGTGACATGTTGCTGGTCCAGGTAAAAGCAGGAATTTTTGCCATGAGAAAATAATTACAAAACTTCCAGAGAAGTTTACATATTAAGGACAGCAGCATGGTTTCCCTGACTCTTGGTCTGGGTTTGGTGCCAAATAGCTGGCTCCAAATTTCTGCTCCCTCAGATTATACTGCATGACACTCAACTATCCCTCAGGCTACACACTGAGAAAGCATCCCGTATTTCATTTCCCTTGGCATCTGTGGCTGAGTTACCCACATTGCAGATGCCATTCTAGATTGCAGCCTGAGCATGCCCCAAGGGAGGAGGAAATCTTGTGGGTTCCATACAGAGCTGTTTGGAAACCTCCAAGCCTCGTGTTTCCAAAGACGGTGTGGGTCTAGAAGGAAAGGAACATCTTCTGAACAGGAAACAGTCTGAGCTCACAATGCCATTTGGATCCAGGCAGGTTCCCTGCAAAGAACTCGTCTCACAGTCCACATGCTGTCTGTCTGCAATCCTGTCATCTGGGCTAACACAGGCACCATTACTGCAGAGAATGGAATACGTGGAATAAAAGGATGATTCCAGAGCTCAGCTGATGAAAGTTAGGGAAAAAATGTTTGAAAGTTTTTTTGAGACCAGTAAGATTTTTTGCTAAATTTAACAGTTAGATACAGGCTCTCCAGAAGAAGGAAGGCATGCTGGATGTTACCCAGCTTGGTGAACAAAGTCCAAATGTTTACTGACATTTTATTCTGTTCTTATCTCTGAGCATAATGGATTCCCTCTGAACCTCCTCATGCAACTAATTAGCTTTGCTGCATTTAATCAAAGTTTACAGGCACACTGGGGCTTCAAAAAGAAAAACAGTCTGAAATTTTGATCTTGACAAAGATCATAAAAACATCCCCTTTTTTAGTGCAGTGATTCCTAGAGGTAGTGGTAAATTGGAGACTGTGGGGCTGGAAGATCCTATCTGCCCACTGTGATATGATGGAAGCATCACATGACATTCCTTTTCTAGACCGACTTTATTCCTTTTTCCTCGTTAACATGTTTGATTGTCATTCTGGTGCAGCACTCTATGAAACAGAACAGGAGAGGCACAACTCCTAGTTTCAGCCACTCTGCATTCCTAGCACTGACCAAGATGACACTGACCAAGAGTATAATGTGAGATAAATTCAGATAAGTTCAGAACACTCCTTCTAGCAACTGTGCTTAGCACTTATAGCTGAGACCAACCACTGCAGAAACTGTGCCTACCTATTTCGAAGTCCAAAGAAGGATTTCAAAGGCTTGTTAGCCTGTCATTCGTGTTTGATGCAAGAACTTTGCATCTTACTGGTTTTTTTTATATTTCAGACTCCATGTCAGTTGCAAGGATTGAGACTCCCACATTTGCAAGAGGAGGAATCAGTGAGATAACCACCGATGCAATAGTGGAAAGGGCTTTCTTTAAAAAAGTATGCTATGACATTACATGTGGAATACAAGAAAAGACTGATGAGTCTGGACTTGTTCAGTCAGAGTCTGAGGAGAGATGTGAGAGCAGCTTAGAACTCCTTTGAAGGGGACTTATGAAGAGGATAGAGACAAACTTTTCATGGTAAGGGGCAGGAAATACAACAGGGACTGCAGACACAAATTGTGGCTAAGTAAATTCAGATTGGACATTTGTGAAAACACTTCTTTGTGCAGAGGGCTGTGCAGCCCTGGGACAGGTCATCCATGGAATTGTTGTTTTGTACTGATCCAAGCACAACGCCTCCAAGACCTGTCAGAGCTGTCACATGCCAGCACAGTGGATATTGCAAACATGTCCATGTCCTCTGGCTGTGTCACCTTAGGTGCCACATTACCCAAATCTTCTACTTAAAAAACCAAGAAAGGTGGTACCAGGTAGGCTTTGATGTGAGCAAACATGATTGGTTCTTTAGAGAAAATGAAACATGGAGAACTTCCCAAGCATCTGAAATCAACCATCTCTGGTCAGCAATTAAATTCAAATGCTTAAGCCACAAATATCACACTCACCTTTACTTGTTGCTGTGCTGAATACTCCTAGAACCAAAGAGTGGTGATAGGATGACAGCTCAGATGGAAGCTCTCCTCTTAAATACCGTTCTGCTTCATCAATCGTTGCCAGCTTCAGAGGGCAGGAAACTTGGCTCCTATAGAAAGGCAGAGAAACAACATGGGCAGCCTTCTTCACTTTTGGGATGAAGAGACAAAATCTTCATAACAACTCTTCCGTAACCCAATGTGACAGCTGTTTTATCTCAAAAGAGAAAAAAATCAGCTGCCTCTGGGAAGGAAAGGCAACATCTAGGCACTGAAAGGCACTGGGACTGGTTACGGTGAAGAGAATAGCCCTAAGCCAAACTGGATGCTCTGAGATCCTTTCTGCACACAGGACAGTCTGGCATCCCTCAGCTAAACTGCAGAGATCACTTGGTTTAGAGTCAGGGCTCGGCTGTGCTTCCAATAAAACCAAAGAGGGTTTTGCCATTCATATGGACCTTATTCATATGTTTTGTCATTCACTTTAGGACCATACCCCATCACTGGATGGGGATCCACATTAAAAAATAACTGAGAAGGAATTCTGTGGAGAGAGGAAAAGTGACGACAGATGGATGCGTTGTCCAAGAAGAGATGTTTTTGACAAAGAAAAGCAGAGAAAGTTATTAAACTAATTTCCAAATCAGGTCTATAACAGGATCTGACATTTTTCCAAAAAGGAATTCCATTACACAGGCCATGGAGCATCCAGAACGTCATCTGGTAGATGTGCCAATCTTACAGTGTGGGGACTCATTAACAGGCACTTACAACACGATGAAACTGGTCAGTTCTTCAGTTCCCAACATGCCATTGTACGTTATTGGTTGTTCTCCCTTCTTGTAAATCTTTATGGTAGGAAACTGAGTGACATTCTCCATTGTGCAAACACCAGGCCAGTCCCAGCAGTTTACTCGAGAGAGCAAAATCCCTTGAGTTCCTAGAATGGAAAACAAACACATACAAATAGTAGGAAAAAAAAAGAGAAAGTGAAATGCTTGAAAAAGGGAGCCATGCGAACTTTTTTGGATGCTACTGTATATATTTGTATTAACATACTAGAACTGCTATTTGCTTTGGTGTGCATCCTACTGAGCTGGATGCTAACACATTGCACGTACATGGAGCATGTCCAGATGGGCAACCACTGAAAAGTTACTCGATCATTCCTGGAGTGAAACGCTGCTCTGTGTAGGCAGGATGTCAAAATCCAGTCCCAAAATAAGCAATCCCTCCCAGCCCATGCTGTCTCCTTCTTGAACTTATTCATGGACATACCTTACAGCTTTGAATATAATAGCAATTATTTCCAGCCTACTAATGTATTAAATATTCCAGCAGGTGTGAATGGATTAAAACAATAGAGAGATCAAACTCAGGGAAGTGGCAGCTTTCACTTCTCAGAAAGAAATACCCAGAGACATTCACATCTGGCTGCAATGAAACAACCAGGAGTACATACGACAGTAAGAATAGGTGCTAGAAATATTTTATGAATAAAGCTAAGACAAAGAAACCAGACAGGCCCTTGCTTAAAGGAGGAAAAGAGGGAAAATAAAGCTTGGCATGAAAGAGGCTGATGCACATGGGGAGGAACAACCCCAGACACCACCACATGCTGGGGCCACCCAGCTAGAAAGCAGCTCTGCAGAAGAGGACCTGGGGATGCTGGTGGACAGTAAGTCAAACATGATCAGTCCTATGCTGCTTCTGCTAAGAAGGCCAATGGCATCCTGGGCAGTATTGCACTAAGCAGGTCAAAGGAGGTCATACTTTCCTCTGCTCAGCACTGGTGAGGCTGCACCTGGAGTTCTGAGCCTACTGCCAGCAAAAGAGGCAATAGGCAAAAACCAGAACACAGGAGGATCCTGATGACCTCCAGAGATGCCTTCCAACCTAAACCATTCTGACATTCAAGGCTTTGTTATTTTATGAGGTGCCCAGTATTGAAAAGTATCTATTTTACCTAAAACATGGAGCTTAATACACAGTGAGCAGTTAAAGGTCACATAAACAAATTGCAATGCAATCTGGCAATCTGATGGCTTTCACCCTGTTGTACCTATGCAAGTTGCTCATCTCCAAACCACTAGCAGGTACTTTTAGGCCCCTAACTAAGAGGCTGGGACTTTACAAGTAGGTAACTGGGAAAGGAACTGGGAAAGGAACTTTCTCAGTGCTTGGGAACTATAGAGCAGTCAGTCCAAATCTGCTTTCTTGGACGGGTACTAAAAAAGCCTTTTAAGGGCCTCATTAATAGGATCTGTAAGCAGTGAAACAGATGAATGTTGTTCTCTTGCATACTTTCCACGAGCCCAAGACAGAGCACCTATAACTTCAGCATGTCCCTATCAGCTGTCCTTTCATCTGCAGGCTGGGTGAAAGCCAGCACATGTAGCTGCTAGTCCACTGCTAAGTGTGTGCTAACTGGCCAGCAGGTGATCTCTGGCCTCACTAGCCACTACCTCCCAGCTGGCTGCCTTGCCTGACCTGCCTCTTACCTACTTGCAGGCTTGACCAACGACAGCAGGGCTGTGTACAGTCCTCAGGCCATACGTCGTTCATGCCCACTGCAGGAATGCAGTATCTCAGAGATCTTTATACCTTTGCTAAATTTGTTTGAACATGATTCAACAATTGCATGGGAAAGATGGGATGAAACGCTGAGACAAGGACACACGTGGAAGCAGATCATTGCAAGATGTTGTGTCCTTCAGAAACCAGGGCAAGGGCAGATGATGAGGATTTCTCAGGCAGAGCACAGCAGATCAAAGCAACCAGGCTTTCTTCTCTGTCTGCCCTGGGTTTGATTCTGATCACTGCTTTCACTAGAGGTCTGGATGATAGAAAAACACACATCCAATCAGCAGATGATCCTAGATTCAGAAGGACAGAAAGATTTGAAGGGCAAAGTGTAAAAGCAACACTCTGTAATGAGGAATGGGATTGACATATATCATTAGTGCTGCAGATAAGGGCAAAGCTCACCCTTGGATGAACTCTCAACAGCATCTGCAAAATATGGAAGGAAAAGGATGCTCTTGTATTTTTTTCTGGTGATGCTTTTGCAGAACCCATCAAGCCTTCATGCAAGCTGGAAAACACATTTTTAAGAAGTGTAAGCAGATGAGAGAAAATCTGAGCAAGAGAGGTGTTTAGAAGACATGTCTCTGAAGAAAAGTGGTGTTTCTTTCTAACAGAAATTGCCTGGGAAAGGGAAACAATAGAATCTAAGAATAAATTAAGTCTGCAAAGTCTGGTCCAGAGGTGATGGTGGGATCTCTCTCTATTGCCAGCTGGGAAAAGACGAGCAACAATTTATCCCCAGGCAGAGAGGCTTGACCAAGTATTAAAATTAGCTCCTGAGAACCAAGCACAGGCAAGTCTTAGGCAGAACAGTTACTGAAGAGTTTTAATCACAAGTTAGAAATTTCTGTCAGGGATTGGCAAGGCTCCCCAAAGACAGGTAAAGACACAAGTGACCTCCATGTGAATTCCCATTCCAAAGCTCTGCATCCTTGACATCTCACCAGACCATTTTATACAGCCTTCTTTTTCAGTTCTGCTTTGCAGCTCTTTCACAGGAGGAGTTCGCTGCTGTTCTGCCTTGTGTCAAATGTATGGACAGAAGAAGCAAGTAGCAGCACAGAGCTACTAGTCTGCAATTCCACTCAGACAGTCCAGAGCTGTCAAAACACTCCAAGAGAGCAGAAATGGTTTGTGTCATTCTCCAGGCTGTGAAATAACATCTCAATTTAAAAGCCTGCCCTGGGATTTATTTCACACCTCTGATCCGGTATGGCTGGTTCTCATCAACTCTTACCACATAATTTTGTGTCTTGCCCAACTCAGAATAAAAAATGGCACACAAACAGAGCTTTGATGTCTTGTTAAAACTGCAAGGCTCCTCTAAGGTCCTCCAAATGGGATTTTAAGTATTTAGATACCACCATGGGGGATTACGTACCAAGAATGACCAAAATCCCCCAAGGAAGCCTCAGCTGGCCCGAGGAATGTTGTGTATCACTCCGCCATCCCGAGCTGCACCATGTTATTAATTATCAAACACACAGCAGTTTCAGGAGTTGAGTAATTCAGCAAAAGACAGCACAGCCCTGTGGTCACTGTTGAGCTGCTGGATGGGATGAAAGTTCGAAGAGAAACATGAGATACTTCCCTTCTATGATTTTAGATGCTATTCAAACTGGCGGTGGAGAGAACCTCTGTTTTAAGGGTCTTCTAAAACAAGGACAAGACGATCACTGAAAGCTACAAGGAACAGTGCAGCTTTAAGCAGCTGGGCCTTTGGAGAGCAGGACTGGCATTTTCAACTTTGAGAGCTGGTCTGAAGTCTACAAGATGAAAGAGAATTAAGTTATATGTGAAGTGTTGCACTTCAAGAGGAGAAATCCAGTACACAAAGGGAAATGACTACATCACTGTAGGAAAGCATATCAGAGAATCTCACAGCCCACCAGCTGTTGATGTCTCACATATCTAATGTATGTGATAACAGAAAATGAATGGCATCTGGTGTTCTGGCAGATCCTGGGTCAGAGGGTCCCCTCTCAGACCACACCACAGCTTTGGTATGGAAGCAGAGTTCAAAAGGAATTTAACAATCTGATCTCTGTGGTGACAGCAATAGGATCCAAGGGAACGGCATGGAGATGCACTGGGGAGGGTCAGGTTGGGGCTTAGGAAAAGAACCTTTGCCAGAGGATGGTCAGCCTGAAACAGGCTTCCCAGGGCAGTGGTCACGGCCCAAGTTGAAGGAACATTTGCACAGTGCTCTCAGAATATAGGGCTGGGTATTGGGTGGCTGTATGGAGCCAGGAGTTGGACTCAGTGATCTTTGTGGGTCCCTCCCAACTCAGGATATTCTATGACTCAATTCTGTGTGCTAAATCACACAGCTGATTTTCATAAGTTAGAACTACAACTTCAGAGCTCTGTCTTTGAAAGTCATTGGGCAGGAAGACCCCACAAGCATCAGGAGAGGGAAGTAAAATTGTTTTTCAGCTCAGTTTTTCAGCATATTGCTCTTCTTTTGTAGTGGTTTCCTCCTACCTTTGCAAAAAAGGCTAATGAAACATCTGAAAAATGCAATGACCCTGTCATACCTTCACACCCTTCTGTTGCAGGGGGGCTGCTTTCATAGATATATGTTTTTCATAAAAAAACAAGAGCTGCCCTGGTTAGCCTCAGTGGCAGAGAGAATGGCACACTCTCACTGCAAGAGCAGAAAATGTGCTCTTTTCAGCAAGACAAAGGTGTTTCTCTTGATCTCTTGTTTGATCCGATCTCTTAACAAAGAGAAAACACTTGGTGGGCTGTAAACTTCATTTGATGATGATCTTGCTGACTGTTTGTTACTGGATGATTCATGGGGTCATCCCAGCCTCCAGCCTCCTCTGCACTCCTACGCTTTATTTCAGATGGCCTATTCTCAGTGCCATTTTCCATGGAAAATTGGCATCAAAAGTGGGACCTCATCCTGTATCTATCTTAAACGTGCTTCTAGTGCAGGTGACTCATGCCTCAAACAGCTGATCTTGGCTTCTGAGCCCTTGGGAGGAGTTTCACCCTGAACAGCAGATACCTGTATTTCTGGGGGAGCTGAGAAATTGCCCCAGAGCCATAACCCATGTTTAATTCTCACTGTCCTGCATAGCTCAAGCTCTTCTTCCTGATGCAGACTTCTGCCCCTTGCACTGGTATATCTTCCTGATTACCTTGCTCAACCCTGCAGCACTCTCTTCCTAACCCCAAACCCAGCTCTGGAACCCCTGACTCTAACTCCTACCTGGGAATTCACAGATTCAGACTTCCATCAGGCTATGCCCCCTGCACTGGGACATTCACAATTGATATGGCCTCTGCTCTGTCTGATCTGTTATAACTTTTGGATTCTTTAACCTCTTGACTCCAGCCCACCCTAATTACCAACCAGAAACACCCTCATGCTGGCCATAAAAAAGAGCCTGGGAATTCACATCCTTTTAGGACTTCCAGTTCACCAGTAGATATCTTTGTAACTAAGTCTCTCCCAGCAGCAGATATAAAGTCACATCTTGCAGCAAACTCACTTCAGCTCCAAAAGCAACCGTTCTCCATCCTTTCCGAGGTCACAACAGGGAGAACAAACTGGAGTCATTCCATAGGTCACATCTGGCCTGGGAGTCTTCAGTTGGACCTCACTGATCACAGAGGAAAGGTCTTGACTTCAGTCAGTTCATAATCTTTGTTGAGAATCTGCCTATGGCTGCATCCATGTACTGAGATTGTTATCAAGTGATTAAAGAAACAGATGGTGAGAGCTTAGCCTCACACAGTCAGCCACAGTTTGGCCACTGACTCAGGAAGAGGCAGAGTTTCATCCGCTGCCTCTCCCAGTTTGTAACTCTAGCTGGTTTGACAGCTGGAAAGTCCAAAGAAGCCCCAAATAATCAATAACCATAACCCCTCTAATGATGATAACCCTCCCTGAGTTTTCCAGTTTATTTCTGGGCTGTCAGTTCAGATCAAAGCTGATGATGACAATCTTTTTATGAAAATTAGTAAAGCAGAACCACTTTCCTCTAAATGACAGCACTGCCCTCAGTGTTCCCAGGAGGGTTTCTTGCAAACAACCACTTCTCAGAGAACTGTCTGGGTCCTCTGCACACTCCATACGTTTTCCCTCTGCTGAGAGCTCAGCCTGAATCCTGCCTGAAGTTTGCAGGAAAAGGTATCCAGTTCCAGGGGAGTGCCTCTAGGAGCTAGGAGCTACTAGGAGAAATCAGCAATTAGGAGAAATTAGCAACTAAGAGAAATCAGCCTTGATGAAGAAGGAAAAAAACAATGAAGAATGCACCAGTTACCTCCAGGGGTGCAAGAACAGCTCAGACTTAGATCTACTCAACTTCCTCACTGTGCTGAAATGAAGGGATGAAGCCACTTGCTTACCCCCTGTAGTTAGAGGGAAGGACAGGCATCTCTAGAAGAGATTGAACCCATACAAGCCTGCTAGCAGTGCAGAAGAACACAACTCTTTCCACTGATTATAGAGGGGGATCGGGCTGAAGCCCTGAATTAAGCTGAATCAGTACTTAAATCACCCAGGAAACATCACAGGTGCTCCTGAAGGACCAGTCCCTTATGTCTTTACTAGTGGATTACCTGATGTGTGTTGTCTTTAAATGTTACTGATCCTTTGCTGTCTATTATTTTTGGCATTCTGTGGTTGCCTGTGAGACTTCCCATGTAATTAACCCAGTCTACAGGCCCTGAAGGCATAGTCATTTTAAATTCTTTCTCTGACACCATCATGCCCCATGGATCTGGGCCTGCCCCTGCCTGTCTATTATGCTTCTAGCAAAGCCTGGGCCAATTACCACTCTGTTACAGATCAAATAACCACGTTGTGATTCCCAAAAGCAGGAGACTTGATGTATCACCCCTCCCTGGCAAACATTGATTTGGCTCTCAAGCCTCATGCTGTGCAATATGCAGTGCATCTTTACTCTGACTGGACATAGCACTGAAGGGCACCAGCAGGATCCTGCTCCTCTGATGCAGACTATGGTGTCTGCTGCTGGACCCTCTACCTTCAAACCCTTGCTGTGTCACTCACTGTTTCTGGTGATGAAATGACTGTGCCCATGAATATCACAGTCCCAGCTGAAGGGTGGTTTGGGCAGCTGGTGTGTACCAGTTTACATCAACAGCACCAGGTGACTGCACAAGGTTGCACTGCCAGTCCCATGACTTTACAGAAGCACAAAGAGACTGCAAATATTGCTAGAGAAACAAATTCTCTTCCTAAGCAATTTAACATAGGAATGCCTTCCTTAAGAGTTTGGGAACTAAAAATGAGTATATTCTAGGTGAGTGAGCAAGACACCACCAGTATCTTTCGAGTTTTTTGGTGTGTACTGTCAGGGCAGACACAAACCAGCTCTACAAGCACTCAGACTGAGCACCTTACCTTTCAGGTGATCAGCCACCTCTGTGTAAGACTGTAGCACTGCCAGGGACACTGCCTCCCCTGAAACACAGAAGAGAAGCAGCTCTGAGTTACATATAGGTGATGAACCAACCTCACTGTGCTCTCTGACAATGTTACATTATGATTTTCTGCATCCTATGGCACTTGAGGCTCTGAAAGATTTTGAAAGAAATAAAGAAAATTGGACTTTATGTTTCTACAGAAGAGAGCAACTAGGCTCCCTAGCCTATCTCATGAAGTCACTCTCATTTTTCTTCTTGTCTCACGTGTGTCTCGCAGAGAAAAAATTAGAAAAGCCCAGTTTGAACTCAACTTGGCCGCTGGGGTAAAACAGAACAAAAAAACTTTTTTACAAATGTATTAACAGTAAGAGGAAGGCTAAGGAGAATCTCCATCCTTTACTTTTCCCAGTGGTCACTGGGAATGTGACCACTGACGATAAGGAAAAGGTTGAGGTTATCAATGCCTTGAAGTCTGCCTTTAAAAATCAGACCAGTTATCCTTGGGGTACTTTAATCCCTGACCTTGAAATCCCAGATGGGGAGCAGAATAAACTCTCCACAGTTCAGATGGAAACAGTCGGAGACATACTGGACAGTCACTGAACAGACACCTGGACAGCCACAAGTTCATAGAGCCAGGTGGGATTCACTCAAGGTACTAAGGAAGCTGATAGTGATAGCCAAGACACTTTCCATCATCTATCTGCATTCTTGGCCAACTGGAAGATTGGAGGCTTCTCAGTGTGACTCTCATTACAAAAAGGATCGTAAGGGGGATCAGGGGAACTACAGGCCTGTTAGTCTGACCTCAGTGCCAGGGAAGGTTACGGAGCAAATTTTCTCAAAGGAGATCACATAGCATTGCAGGGCAGCTAGGGGATAAGGCCTAGCCAGCATGAGTTCATGAAAGGCAGGTCCTGACTGACCAACCTGATCTTCTATGATCTAGTGACCCGTTTGGTGAATGAGAGAAAGGCTGTTGACGTAGTCTACCTAGACTTCAGCAAAGCCTTTGGCACTGTCTCTCACAGTGTTCTCCAGGAGAAGCTGACAGCCCGTGCCTTGGACAGGTACACTCTTGGCTGGATAAAGAACTGGCTGGAGGGCTGGGCCCAGAGAGTGGTGGGGGATGGAGTTACATCCAGCTGGTGACCGGTCATGAGTGGGGTCGGTGTGGGGGCCTGTCCTGCTCAATATCTTTACTGATGACCTGGATGAGGGCATTGAGTGCAGTAAGTCTGCAGATTACATACAAGCTGGCAAGAAATGTCAATCTGCCCGGGGGAAGGAAGGCTGGACAGGCTGGATATCTGGGCTGAAGCCAATGGGATGAGGTTCAACAAGGTCAAATGCTGGGTCCTGCACTTTGGCCACAACAATCCCAGACAATGCTACAGGCTTGGGGCAGAGTAGCTGGAAGACTGTGCAGAAGAAACAGACCTGGGCATATTGGTCAACACTGGGCTGAACATCAGCCAGCAGTGTGCCCAGGTGGTCAAGAAGGCCAATGGCATCCTGGCTTGCATCAGAAATAGTGTCATCAGCAGGAGCAGGGAAGTAATTGTCCCTCTGTACTTAACTCTGGTGAGGCCGCACCTCCAGTACTGTGTCCAGTTTTGGGCCCCTCACTGCAAGAAAGACATTGAGGCCCTGGAGCATGTCCAGAGAAGGGCAACGAAACTGGTGAGGGGTCTGGAGCACAAGTCTTTTGAGGAGCGGTTGAGGGAGCTGGGATTGTTCAGTCTGGAGAAGAGGAGGCTCAGTGGAGACCTCATTGCTCTCTATAACAACCTGAAGGGAGGTTGTAGTGAGCTGGGGGTCGGCCTCTTCTCCCATGTAACTAGTGATGGGATGAGAGGGAACAGCCTCAAGTGGCACCAGGGGAGATTCAGATTGGATGTTATGAAATAATTCTTCAAGAGAGTGGTCAAGCACTGGAATGGGCTGCACAGGGAGGTGGTGGAGTCACCATCCCTGGAGGTGTTCAAGAAACATTTAGATGTTGTACTGAGGGACATGGTTTAGTGGAAAATATTGGTGATAGGTTGGACTGGACGATCTTAGAGATCTTTTCCAACCTTGGTGATTCTATGATTCTATGATTCGGTCCCTGTAAAAGGAAGATGGAAAACTTCTGAACACTGACGTACTTTACACTGAGAGATGCCATCTTCAAAGAATATCAGCCAATGAAAGGAACTGATGTAATCTGACTGCTAACACTTGGTGAGGGCCCATAGGACAGGATGCAGCACATATTTATCATTCACACTTGTCTACAAGTGTGGATTATCACACTGTGGGAAGTGTAGTGAGCAGCACAAGTATAGTCATACTCACAGCTGGCATAAAACAGCACCACTGTCTGGGCAGCTTCCAACATGGCAGAGTGAAAGGTCTCTTCTGTCAGGGTAAGGATCTGATCCAGGGGCAGCTCTCGCTTCTTGTCCCTGGAAACTGCTTCCACCACCTGATCATCCTGCATGTCTGCATGGAGAAAAGCACAAACACAAAGGACACAGGAAACTGCAGCTCCCTGCCTGCAACCTCATTGGAACATTTTAGGAAGCCACCACCTCTCAACAGACACATGGTGACTGTATGTGGAGACAGGACAAGGGAAATGGCCGAAAACTGGAGCATAGGAAGTTCTGCAAAAATGTGCACAAGAACTTCTTTAGGTGAGGTGACGGAGCACTGGAACAGGCTGCCCAGGGAGGTTGTGGAGTCTCCTTCTCTGGAGATATTCAAGACCTGACTGGATGCCTACTTGTGTGACCTGGTGTAGGGAACCTGCTTTGGCAGGGGGGTTGGACTCGATGATCTCTGGAGGTCCCTTCCAACCCCTACAATCTGTGATTCTGTGATTCTGTGATTCTGTGATTGTCAATTAGAGATTAAGTAACCACCTTACTGGGGGAATGGAAGGAACAGAGACAATCTCATTGATATACACACAAGCTCATTAAAATGCTCCTATGCCACCTCACACCATTGCCCTGTATCCTGAAAACTGAACACAAGTCTTAAACATGCTGAATATTTGATCTTCCATGCTCCTGTGTCACTTTTTCTTCAAAACAAAAATAATTCTGTATGGAAAACAAATATATTCAAGAAAGCATTGTAGAAGCTGTTTTCTCCCTGAGGAAAGCAAGTCTGAAAAAGCTGTTACAAAAACACGTCTCAAACCTTCCCAAAGGGACTAGTAATCCCTATGCTTCTTCTGAAGCTTGGACAGAAGCTGGACCCAACCAAACATCAGTAGCTCCTCCCTCATGCAGAATCTCTGCAACTGTTCCAATCACAACAGTGTGTTGTGTTTGCCCGTGGTGTTTGCCCTAAAAATTACGCCTATCTGTCATGAAGCTCCAGTGATCTGCAGAGAATGAAAGAGCCAGTTTGTACAGACATCATGTGACTGTGATAATCATAGTGACAGAATGACAGATTAGTTGAGGCTGGCAAGGACCTTGAGGCCAGCTGGTCCAACCCCTGCTCAAGCAGGGACACCCAGAGCAGGCTGCCCAGGCCCATGCCTGGCTGGCTTTAGAAGATCTCCAAAGAGGAGATTCCACAGCCTCTCTGGGCAATCTGTGCCAGTGCTCTGTCACTCACACAGTAAAAAAACATTTCCTGATGGATCCTCTTGCGTTTCAGTTTGTGCCCATCATCTCTTGTCCTGGCACTGGGCAACACTGAAGACAGCCTGGCTCTATCTCCTTTGCAACTTCCCTTCAAACAGATAGCTTGCCATGGATTTGCAAGAGTATTCTCTAATGCTTTAACTCTGCATGTCTCTAGGAGTCGCTGATTGCATGTCCTATTGGTGATAACTAGCTTCTCATTTTCTAGTTACACACCTTGATTGTCATTCTCTTTTTCATCCTCATCTTCCTCATCTTCATCCTCATTCTCCTGGATTTGTTTAACCTTGCTTTTATCTTCCAGCAGAGTTATAACTTCCTCAGTATCTTCCAAGACCAGGTATTTGATTGGCACTCCCTAAAGAATACAGGAACAAAGCATCACTCTGTGTCTCTTCTATCATCTGCAAATGAAACTCAAAATAGGGAATTCTAATGGAGAGGGAGTTTGAAGTTCCCTCTCACCATCTAGCTTCTTATTTCTGGGGTATGTCAACAGATTCCTAGAGCTGCCAAACAAGGGATGTGCTTCTTTGGCCCAGTTTCACCTGCACATTACTTTTTTTCATTCCAGACTGCTATTTCCTTTTCAGGAAGTAATTGTAGCTATGTGGGATTTTGTGTCTGTAGCTAGAGTGGTGAAAGTGAACACCTGCTCCACCTCCCAGCACCTTAACACAGAGCTACTGTGAGAAGAAACTCAGAGGCCAAACAGTGAATGAGGGAGCTGAGGTACAAGCATAGAGTCCACTGTGCTGCCTGGTCCCTAGCCTAGGTGGCTCAGGTTAGTCAGAGAAGCTCATCATGGACTGGAAAAACGCACAGATCATCTTTTATCTCATGTAGCTCAACAAAGAAGAATGTTCCCAAGTGTAATGGACTGCCAACCCACGGAAAGAAAAGAGCAAAATTTATTTCTCAGAAATGAGACCGTGTCAGCTTAAAACCAGTTCTGGCACTGTCTCAGGAAGAGGCACTTCAGAGAAAATGAATTTTATAATGAACTGAGAGAAATGACAAACTGCTGGCACCTCCCATTGGTTCTAAGAGGAGAAACACACCACGCACATCTCTCAGCAGGTCAGGGGAAGCCCTCGGGGGACACTCAGATTCAGGTCTGATCGTGTACCTCTGCAATCACAAGTGTGATTTGTGACAGTTCAAGTAATTCGGGGCAACGTCTGTTCCCTGACATTTGTTGCCTCACAAGCTGGGTCAGGCCCCTCCAGAGTTTAGCTCATCTTGATCAGCCTCTTTTAATTTAGGCTCTGCCCTTTTCTCAGATCACTACCAGAGGCTTTTGATGACATCAGTTCAGCACAGACCTTTGGTTGTTTGCCCTCTTGGCTCTTAGTTTCATGTTTGTTTCCTCTTCATCTTTTGAACTCCTTTCCTAAGGGGCCAAGGGCCTTTGGAAGTCCAAATCTGATGGGAATTTACACTTGAAGTACTACCTTAGGTAGTTCACAATCTCACACTGACTTACTGTACAATAGAGAGATCACTCTCTGATTAGAACCCAAAATAAACACTTCCATTTATCTCCTGCAAGCAGGCACAATTCCTCTGCAGCATCAAGCTCAAGCAGTTCCAAATACATGCATGCAGCTATGGAAAGATACATCCCCTGGAGCTTCTTTGAAGGCCATCAAATAACAAGAGGTGAGCAACACCTTAATGCGCTTTCCAGAGCAGCATTTCCAGACAGGAAATAAGATTTGTATGATAAAGAAATCCGTCAAACCTCATCTGGTGTTTTGAGAGCAACATTTGTCTGCCGCAGAATGTTCAAATCCACACGGTCCCTTCCAAAATACAAAGTGAACATTAGATGGTGTGATGGTATGCAGGGTTACATACTCTATAACCTGCCTGTCTGACAAACACACACCTCTCCCCGCTGCACCACATCCCCGCATAGTCATGCTTCTGGGCCCCAATGTATGTGCTGAAGCTCAGTCCACCTGAACAAAGTAGGTGTTGGAGAAATATGTTCCAAGTGACCTGGTGGGACTCACCCCACGTGTGCTGCATAACATGCCTATTTCCCGAGGGCTCTGAACTGCCCTTCTATGATTCACATCTTTGCTCATCCATCGGTAACCACATCCCAGTGCAGCTGCTCAGATGGCAGACTCTAGCTTGCATGTAAACGCAGCCAAGAAGTGCCTCTGCACATGGAGATACCACGATGGCAGAAAGCCAGAAGACAGCCCACACCCATCCTTCCCATCCTTCCTCCTTCTTCCTCCATTGCAATGCTGCCAGCAGCATGGGCGCAAAGCAGACATGCCACCTCACAGTCCTAACCCAAAGCTGCTGGATCCCCCTCTGAAATCTGAAATATAGGAGGGGGCATCTGCTCACAGGAATGTGTTTTTGACTTGTCACGTCCTGCAGGTTTCTCATGTATGCAGCCTGGCTCTCCGTGCACAGCTCTGCTACAGGCCAGCCATGCAGCAGGTGTGCATGTCTCCAGATGCTCTGCGAACATTTGCAAGCACAAGAAGCACATGAAGGCTCCCAGCCCCACTCATGGGCAGGCCACAGCCAAGATGGGCTGTGGAGAGGACACAAGACAGGATCTGCTATATGCAGCCCACCTCTGAGCCTGTGAAACAGTGGTAAAGGAAACCAACAGATCTTTGCAGCATAGCCCTAAGTGTCTCATTCCTATCCTCATGGGAAGCAAACTTGCTGCCTAACTCTGGTATCCCTCTCTAATTTACTGAGCAGAAAACCAACCCAACACTCATGATGCACTAGCACCCACAGTTTGTGTCCTTTACTGTACTTCCTTCTATCCTTAAATAAGGGCAAAATACAAGCTTTTTGTCTCTGCATTCCAAGTTTCCTTTCCGAAGTTTCCCTTAGTCTATTTTTCTACTTCGAAATCAGCAATAGACTCAAATATTTCTACACTTCCATACATCTGAAACCAAACTTACCTGATTCTGGAGAAGCTCTCAAATATTACATCTTCTCACAGGATATAATTTAGTTTTGCTGCTTCTCATTCAAATCAGAGTAAGCCCTCTGACTGTGATACCACTGGCCTTGTTGTGCAGTAAAGAAGCTCAGAAACAACACAGGAAAAAAAGAAAAAAGAGAATCCTTCAAACATTGGAAAGCAATTACCTGGACAAAATGGCAACTCCTGCTTTCCCCAGAAGTTTCCAGGCCAAAAATTCTGCTGTTCTCCTGTCTGCCTCATAAGTTTCTTTCTGGCTGAGGATAAACACAAGTGGTAGCCCAAGCTGTAAGTGAACAGTGGAAACTTTCTCTGGGTCTTCAGCAACTTCAGTCTGGAAAAGATACATGGTTATACTGCAACGTTTCCACATATTTGAACATACTTCAGCTCTTTTACACCCAGATGTCGATTTCAACAGAATTTCTTTGAATTTGTTGCTGAAATTGGTCACCAAGCTCAAAAGTAAATGGAAAGCACAGAAGTCTCATTTTTTCTGAGGAAAACTGCTGGAAAAACCAATCACCAGATTGTCATCAGTTTAAAAATTGTTGGACATTAACAGCTGGGAAATACTTCCTCCCTGAACCGAGGAGAGGGTTCATAGCCTGAACCGAGGAGAGGGTTCATTAGCCATTTCTAAGGCCAACAAGTAACCTGGAAAGCTGATCTCCTGCACAGCCTGAGCCACTATGTTCTCTGCAGTCACAGAAATAAAGATACTCTCCAGTAAAAGCCTCCAGCTCTGATTCTAAATCATCCACTGAAATAGAACCAACATAACCCTGGTTAAATAGTTCTAACCTTTCACGATCCTCTCTGGGCATTAGTATGCATGTTCTTTGTGACCTAGCAACTCCTGATATCAAATTTCCATTAATTACTATTTGTCTGGCAGCCATTCCTGGAGGTAGTTTGAAAACCCTGTCAAATACAAAAGCTGGCATCCTTTCCCTTTCTTTCTTTGACATGCTGCTTCACTGTAATACACAGCTGCTTAATGAAGTGCCTTCTCTTTACAAGCCTCATCCAGGAGGCTGGCTGAAGGAGAACCTCCCAGCTCATCTACCCATTCTTTCTGCTGGGCAGAGTTGTCACCAACAACTGGAGCCCTGCTGACGTTCACTGCCCCATGACAGACACTGCTGTCTGCCTCCTTTAGGTGCTGAGCCTTCTGTGAGGAATCCAGAAGTCCCAGCAAAGTTAAAGGTGCACCTCCACCCCATTTTGAACAAAGCACAATTCCACTCATATTGGCAGTACCACAGGAGCACACATAGGCCTTGGGATTCCTGAAAAGGAGGACCAAACTTAGAAGTGTAATGGAGTGTTGCTCAGCACCAGGCTCAGGCCTGTTCTTCGCCTGAACTCAGCCTGAGAGCTTTACCATTAACTTAAAGGAGAGGGAGCAGATTCTCATGCTCTGCCTTGTCCTCTGCACACACTTCCCTCATCTTTACATCTGCCCCAGCTGCCCTCACACTGCCCAGCCCAAGTGAGTGCATCATTTCTCCTTCCCATCATACCACAAGAGGAGCTCCCATGAGTTTGAGGTGTCTGTGGATGTTTAGCACTGTCAGATCCTGCTCCAAGGGTGTCCTCCTGCAGGGCTGTGCCAGGTCTGTGGCCTGCTGGCAATGGCAGAACAACAGCTGGGCAGATGATACATCAGGCTCCTTGCTGCTGTGAGAGAGAAACAAAGATCACACTGAACTAGTAATCCATCACAGGGTTTTAAAATACCCTAACAAAACAAAAATTTTGCTGCCTTGTTTTACAAGGCAGATGATCCTTCAGTTCAGGGTATGACTGGCTCGTGGGACTTCAAGAGCCCAACTACCAACAGGTACACTTGTGTTCAGGCACTGCTCAGAATTGTGTTCACTATCAAATGAAAACTCAGGCTTACCAATTATAAATGATCTCAACCCAAGAACAGTTGGCTCAGCTTAAAAGGACACAAAATAAAGCTTTTTTTCAGTCTGACCAGCCATGCTACTCCAGTAAGGACCCTGGCAGGAGAACAGCTGGAATACAAGTTTACTCATGTCTTTTACCTCACTGATGACACCTTACACACTGCATAAGGAATATTTCACATTTAATCAGCTTTGGTTTTGGCTATCCCAAAGGAACCAGTGAAATCAAGTTTCCTACGTGGCTCCTTGGCTTGTGGTTTCTGGTGCCAACACCTGCAGTGGGGTTAGCCCGTGGGTCAGCTTTAGGATGTCCTCTGCATTAATTCCATCGTTTCTAAAATAGGGATCGCCTTTGTTTGTAAAGGGCTTTAAGATCTCTCCACGGAAGAGCGAGGTGCTGCATTAAGATACCAAAGCCTGAAGGCTGTTCTCTCTGCTTTTGGAAGGATAAAGCCACATCCTGTCCAAATGACAACCATGCCATCTAGTGGCTGCCACAAAACACCATCCCTGATCATGATCCAACGAGGATGGGATGTGAAAACAAGTGAATTGCTGTATAAATGTTTTGCTGAAGGTACATCATGCTATCTGATATTCCCACTTTCCTCTCTCCCTCCCAGCTTCCCGACTGCAGTGTATCATGCCAGCAGCAATTCACATTAGAACTGCAGAATCATAGAATCACTAGGGTTAGAAAGGACCTTTAACATTCATCTGGTGACACTCCCTGCCTTGGGCTGATTGTCCCCCACCAGACCAGGCTGCCCAGGGCCCCATCAACCCTGGCCTTAAATGCTTCCAGGGATGTGGCACCCACAGCTTCTCTCCTTACATCTAACTCAAATCTCCCCTCTTTGAGTTTAAAACCTTGTCCTATCACTATCTCCCTGTGTAAAAAGTTAGTCTCCCTTCTATTAATAAGCTCCCTTTGAGTACTGAAAGACTGCAATGAGGTCCCTCCATAGCCTTCTCTTGTCCACGCTGAATGACCCAGCTCCCTCAGCCTCAGTGGTGAGGAGCACCAGCCCCATGACTGGTGGCCCTCCTCCAGATCTTCTCCAGCAGGATTAAAGGATCTACTCTTCTAACCCAGCTCCTCCTGTTCAGAAGGGATGGTGTGAGCTGACCAGCTCCAATGAAGCCATCAGATGGGAAGTCTCAACTACAGCACTCCAAGAGCACCATCTCATGAAGTTAAACTGCAGAACTCACTGCTACTGGAAGTTGTGATTACTAGTAACATTGTGTTTTTAAAAAAAGTCTGGTTGTTAACATCATGATACATGTTCAGCTTCCACCTCTAAAAGTCCACAAACCTTTGACTGCCAGAAGGTGTGATGCTGCATGCAACACACTTGTTTCCTCATATCCCTTGGTAAGTTTAAGTGGCCAAGGCATGAGGTAAAAGAGCTGAGAGAGCTTTCCTCAGGCTCACCATAGCAGTTCCTACACTTCTCATCTGGCCAGACTTGTTCAATAAAGCATGAGGCAGATTTGGGGCTGAGTATGTCTTAAGATTATAACATCAACTATATCAGCCCCTATGAGAATCAGGGAGCTACCAGCCCAGGCCATCTGGTGTATCCAAGCTGCATGGGGGGAGGATCAAGAAGGTCTCAGTAGGAAAAGCACACCTGTCCTGCAGTGACTCCAGTATGACTTCACCCATTGTGCCAGATTTGTTTTTCATTAAATTTCCAGGGAGTCCATGGCTGAGATTTGACCAGTTAGCTAAGGAAGGGAGATAGTGCGCTCTTCTCCTATAAAATCCCATTCAGTGAGCACTCACTAATGACTTGGCTAGTCCAAATCCAGGTACACAAGCAGCAACTGGTGCTGGAAAAGCAAAAGAGATCTGACTGTGCATCCTGTTTTAGCTGTTATCCGACTATCATCCCGGGTAGACTGTTTCACCTTGAGATGCAAAATGCATATGCAGGCTTTGATCTCATTGACATTCAAGGGTGCTGAGAATAGTCAACATTGCCAGCTGGACGGAAAGAAGATTTCTAAATACCCTTGAGTAACCCAAGCTGCTCTTTCACTGGAAATCATGTCTTATTCTCTAGTTCAGCAAGAGGCCAGCAGTGAGCCTAATGTGTAACAGGCCTGGCAATATTTAGACACTTTAAACTCAGGCTTCTGAGGTTCACTTCTAAAGAAAGTGATTTTTCTCCCACATGAGCCAACAATGATGCCAACCCAAGATTTGATGTGACAATCTGAGAAACCAAGAGCAAGCAGTATTTGGACATACCCAGTGTCTTTCAGCAGTGTTGCCTCAGTTGTTAGAACAAACTGGTGGACAGTTCCATAGACAAAAGCCACCTCCATCACAGCTCTGTGCTCTGCAAAGAGAAAAGCATGACTAATTCACTGCTGCAGCTCACTCCAGATCTCCCCTTTAAATTTTTCAGTTCTCCATTTGCAAGATTCTTTCAAAAACTCTTTTCCATCTTAGAAAAAAAGGGCTCCAGAAGGAGAGCAAAGGTGAAAAACTAAGAGTTAATACCTGCTGTTCCAGTAGCTGGTACATATGCGAAGACCATGTTTGATTTCCCCTTCAGTGCATTTTCTATGTTCTGAAGATCCATCAGTGTTTCAACATACTTAACTTCATTAAATAGCAGGGCACTGAGAAGCCAAAAAACTCATTACCAACTGTTTTCTTTTAGGAGAAAATATGCAGCTACATAACCATGACTGGAAAAAAATGCAAAGGAAAAACTCCAGCTTCTTGCTTGCAGGTGCAAGATTAACAGCCAAACACAGCTTCCCAGATGTGTACTGGTGAGCCATCATCTGGAGGACACAGATTTAACAGGGTCAAACCAGACCAAAGTGAGAAGCAGCTTTCTGCTTGGCTGAAAGCAGCCTCAGGAATATGTGGAGTTTCTATTTATGCAGAACTTTCTATCAACAAGTAAAAACAAGCAGTAAATGATGTCACAGAGATCAATCTGGTCTGTACTTACAAAAGAACATTAGCAACAATGGAGTTCACATCAAACAAGGCATCAGTAGGGAATTCTCTGATCAGAACGTTACCTCTGGGGAGGGAAGAAAGAGTGTCACAAAAGAAACCACGAAGGATTAGCTATACGCACTAAACTCATTTCTCCTGTGTAGAACAACAACTGATATCTGGTGGGAAAAAAATGTCAGGACTGAACTTCGGCAGCTTCCAGGACCTGCTCCTCCTCTGTCATGCACAACCATCAATGAGAACTGAGCGCATCAGGTTTGAAAAAGCCCCCTACCTGATATATGGAAAGCTTCCAGCTCACAATCCATAGAGGGATCAAGAGTTAAACATTCCCAACTAAGGTAGATGAACTAATCACACCAATAGGAAGAGCACCAAAGAATGTTTATTTCTTGGACTAGATCTGAAATTTAGCACACTGAATGTAGCCCTGGGGGACCTGGTGGTGGGAGTCCCCAGGATAGAACACTCAACAGATTTTTCTGATTGTTTCTTGTAACAGAACAGGTATGTGCTGCTAAAAAAGAACACAGGGCAGGAAAGGGGGTTTCATGATGAGGACAAAGCATCCAATTTCTGTGTTTTGGACCTTCTAGGGAACTTTCAATTCCAGATATGTTTGCAGACTGGGAAAAGAACTCATTGAGAGCAGCTCTGTGGAGAAGAACTTGGGGGTTCTGGTGGATAAGAAGCTGGACAAGAGCCAGCAGTGTGTGCCTGCTGCCTTAAAGGCCAACTGCATCCTGTGCTGCATCAAAAGAGAGGTGGCAGCAGGGCAGGGAGGGGATTGTGCCCCTCTGCTCTGCCCTCGTGAGACCCCATCTGGACTGGGTCTGGTGAGACTACATCCAGGCCTGGAGCCCCCAGCACAGCAAAGAGATGGAGCTGTTGGAGAGGGTCCGGAGGAGAGCCACAAAGGTACTCAGAGGGCCAGAACACCTCTCCTACGAAGAAAGGCTGAAGGAGCTGGGCTTGTTCAGCCTGGGGAAGAGAAGACTCTGGGGAGACCTCATTGCAGCCTTCCAGTATTTATGAAGAGCTTATAAACAAAAAGGAGACTGACTTTTTACACAGGCAGTTAGTAATAGGATAAGGGGGAATGGTTTTAAACCTCTCTTTTAAGAGGAGATTTAAATTGAATGTTAGGAGGAAACTTTTTACTCAGGGGGCAGTGAAGCCCTGGCATAGCTGCCCAGGGAAGCTGTGGGCATCCAATCCCTGGAGGCATTCAAAGTCAGGCTGGATGGGGCCCTGGGCAGCCTGGTCTGGTGGGTGGCAATCAGTCCATGGCAGGGGTTGGGGCTGGGTGAGTTTTCAAGTTCCTTCCAACCCAACCATTCTGAGACTCTATGGTACTACAAACATTTTCCTGAACTCTCTATGCACTGCTATCCTCATGGCTCCTCTCTTCCTATGCAGACATCTCTACTCCCTAATAGCATTTCATCCAAACCTTTGTTCTTAAAAGCAATCACAGTGTGGAGGTCAGACAGCTCCCTCTTACCTGAAAAGGTAGGCTTTCCTTAATGCATTCTCTTTTCCACAGTATCTTGAGACATCCTCTTTGGGACACTTGACCTAGACAGTGAAAGTATGTCATCAGTCACTCATCTCCACAAATGATGACAAACATAAGCACCAGAGAGAAAATACAATCACACAGTAAGATGAACAGAGTCCAGTGTTGTGGACTGGAGTTTGTATTTCAGCCCTTAATTTGGTTCAGACAGTATTAAGAGATCTTGTGATTTGCCAAGTACATTCAAAGGAACAGACCACTACTTGCTTACTGAACTCAGTTTGTACCTGGAGGCAATGAAATACACACACACACATATAAAAATACTTCTTACAAAATCTAACTGTACTTGCCCACATTTATAGTTCACTCTCCTAAATCTGCATAAGGTTTCACTAAAAAAAAATCTGTTTAGCATTTACTGCATTGTATGGAAAGGAAGTGATCTGATCCCATTCAACACTCTTCATAGCTCAAGCTTCTTCTCTCCTAGTGCACAAGCAAGATTGAGTTGTGCAGGTCTCATACTCTGGGTGAATCAGCAGGCTCTCTTGTGTAACACAGTGGGTATCATACTCTTCCCTGTACCATGTTTAAGGTACACAGCAATAACCAGGCAACACCACACATGACATACTTGGGAAATCAGATTAGACGAGCCAGCTATGCTTGATACATGAGGCTTCCAACAGCAAAGGCCAATTTTAAAGAAAAATCTGAGAAATTAAATATCCCTCACACCCATGAATGCTAATCAAAGCTCTGTTTGGAGTGTGGACAACATAAAGTCTTCCTCAGATAAAGGATTCTGCCCCTGTCCCACAGACAGAAGGTGTGACACAACCCACAAGAAGAAGGTGTGATGCTTTTGATTCATAGCTGTGTGGTGTACTTACTACTGGCCAGGGCAAGGGAAAAAATTGGATGCTTTGCTGCAGCCAGAACCCACTTTCTCATGTTCCATCACCCAAGGAAGGTGCAGACAATTTCTGTCAACCCCACAGTCAGCCCTGCAGAAATACTCTGCCCAATCCTTGTTCTCATTTACCTTCACCACTGAAATGCCATAGTCGTGCAGAGCCTCAACCGAGTTTTCAATCTGTTCCAAGAAGGGCTGGGCACCAGGAGAAACTGAAACATGAAAAAAGGCTGATTTTAGTCCCTTCCCGTTACAGACAATGAAGCAGAAGAGCAGAACAACCCTTTTCTCTCTGGTAATGCTAGCCTTTCTGGGAGTATTTCACTCCCTGGTCAGACCAAGATCACAGTCTGCCTGTGACAAGGGAAAGGATGGGCATCAGTGTAACTATCCTTTATGAATGATCTTTAAATTCAGATGGATTTCAGTCCTGCAAGCCACTATGATATTCCGAGATGTCAGAGATCCCTAAGCAGCATGACATCCTTTGCTTTGTGCTGCAGGACACACTGCAAAACACTACAGCTGCACTGAGCAGCAGTGATGATGCTCAAAGATGCTGCATGCAGGTTTTGCAGGTGCCACTAGTAACTGCCCATGTCCCCTGTTACTGTCTGTGCTCTGGCATGGTATCACCATGCTGAAGTCCCCAAGCAATTATTGTTAGGACATTTGTGCATGCCTGAGCAAGAACAAATAGGGAGCTGCAGCATGTTGAAGGTGGAGATGTGTGAAAGGATTTGACTGGGAGCTGGCTGGGGAGACAGGGACTGGAAGTGGTTTTGTTAGATGGGCATTGTTCTGCTGGGCAGCAAGTCCTCACAGAATCCTCAAGAGTATCCTCCTGCCATGCAGTGGTACAGCACTCACATAACGTGGTCTTCCTCTTACTCAGAGTAAGGTGTTTACAGAAACAAAACTAACTGTGGGCAATACCACGAATGCCTGCAGGCTCCCCACTTTCCTTTCTGACACACCCAGCCAGCCCCTTGGTACTGATGTGGGAGCTGTGTTGGTGTCTCAGTCCACGTTTAGGTCTCTGGAAAACCCCACTTGGGGGCCATGATAGATCTCCTTGTAATTACGCTGTGAGGTGCTTTGGAAAAGAAATACAGCCCATTTCAGGGAGTAGCTCCTTACAAGGCATCTGGAAAATTAATGAAAAGGCTTGAAGGAGTGTGTCTAGGGACACTATCAGGAAAGATCTCAGCCCCAGATACCTCTGTCTACAAGGACTACTCAGGAGCTATGCAAACATAGATTTGCCAGCTAAGTTTGACCAGCTCCTCAAAATAGCTTTGCATTTAAAAATTTCAGGAATCGACCCTTCATTATTCCACTTTCACACACAGTCTGACATGAGTCTTCCCTGAAAACCTAGGCTCATGTAAATGCATGCTATTGAATACATACCAGTATGGCTGAAGTAAGCCAGGGAAGCCTTGCTAGCTTGCAAGCCACTGAAATACTCGTGGGGGCTCAACTCCTGTAGCAGACTTGCACTTCCCAGCATTGGAATGGAGACAGCACAGAAGAGCAGGAAAGAGAAGGAAGAAACCCATCTGTCCTCCTGAGCTGACATGGTTATTATCAGTTCCAGGCATAGAAGAGCCACAACTGGAAAACAAACAGATAAACAAAACATATAAATATATATATATACTTGCACAGACATAACATATATATGAACATGTATATGAATGTTTTCTGTTCAGATAGGTGGAGCATGACTGTAATTTACAAATGTGGCAGCTGCACAAACAGCTGGAGAAAGTCATGAACTAGTTATTAGAACAGCAGGCGACCCACACAGCCATGAAGATGACAGCAAAAGGCCATTCCCCTTCCTGTCAGTGGTATCCGCAAGTGTATGGACCCTCAATGCTTTCAGTTTAGGGTTATTTTTCTTCTTTCCCAATTTTTTCATTTTGGGTCAAGCAGGAATTACAGATACAGAAAGAAAACAGTGATGGTATTTTACACTCTCCCAGTGTCTGCCCCATACTCTCTGCAGTTAAGATTCTAGCTGAACCAAACTGGAGAGGGGTTTGTCCAGACTGCTCCGTGTCATGTCTTGCTCAGTCCCTCCTTACTTTTTTTCTGTCACCAGTGACACTGGAGCAAAATCTATGACACAGCCAGGCCGCAGGACAGGCCTGGCAGCCTCCCTCCCACTCCAGGATTCTGCATGGAGATGTCTGGGAGGAAAGCCAAGAAAAGTTGTGAGATGCCTCAGAGAATGAAGCAAAGACCAAGTGTGCAAGCCTGCTGCCAGGCTTCACCAGCAGCGTTCCCCAAGGTGCCTTGCCACAGCTGTGTAATTCCTCCTACTTGGATGAAAGGGCTATGGAGAGATATGGACAACCAGCTCTGACTACAGGATGAAAAAACAACTTCTTACCACTTAATTCCCCAGTTTAATACCAAGCTCTCTTGCAGCCTGCTCTTTGGGTACCCATCTTTGTTGCCGAGCATGCTAGAGCAAGGCTGGTCCCTGGTCAACAATGAGACAAAGCTGGAATTCAAGCCTTGAAGAAGCTGTTTGCTTTGCATTATGAGCTGCAGCTGTTTTCCTTAACAAATGTCCCTGTGTACACAGGCTATTATTCCTTCCAGTGCTGTGTCAGATGCTGTAAGCTTGTTATTGCTGCTCTGTTATGAACCCAAAGTCAGATGCTCAAAAAACAACCAGGCAAAGTCCCTCTGCCTTGCTCCAAGAGCAGGCAGTGAAAGCAAGGCATGCTCCACCTTCAAAGGCCTCCTTCTCTCTCACTCATGTGTTTGAGGTGTTCGGATAAGGCCTTAACAGCACAAAGGAACAAAGACAGCTGAGAAAGGAATGAAATCTTTTCATCTGAAAGTCTCCAGTCCTCTCCCTCCTACTTCGGGATGTGCCAGGCGCTTCTGGTTCTTTGCCCTCCCATCTGTTCATCTGGCTTACAGAGGGGACAGAGATCAAGGGGATGGGGGGATGTTTACTGAATGACAAACTTGGCTACAGCAGGATGGAAAAATAAATTCAATCCTGGCGTGTAGGAACCAGCCCAGGTCAAATGGGAAAGTTTACTACCAAGAAGGCAAAGCCAGAGGAGCAGCCCACAATGATTCCAATACTTTGCAGCCTGATACCTGCTTGCAGTTTAAGACACAACTCCAACTTCTTCCCAACCCTGATCACCTCATCCTCTTTTCTGAGCTCTTGCTGAGTTCTGCAGGTCCCAGCCCTCTGGCTCTCCCAGCCCAGCCTCTGGTTCCACAGTGTGCAACTCTCCCAGATGTAAACAGGAACTTCAGGAGCATTCAGTGGTGGGAACAAAAGTCAAGATTTATCACCCATGTTCAGGAGAGACTGGAAGCACCTGGATTTGGGATTTTCTCCTCCCTATGTAAATCATGCCCCATAAATGTGTCCAAGCTGGTAACCACTGAAAACACATCTCCTCACAGGAGAAGAATTTGTTGTCAGTCTACTGACTGTTCCTTCAGCCTCAGTATTACAACAGCCTCTACCCGCCCAACTAGAAATCTGGCAGTGATTATATCCCTCATATCCTCATATCCTGTCCTCCTCCTCCTGCCATTTCCCATTTTGTCCCAAAATCACACGTAAGGTCCCTGAGCACATCTTGCCCTAAACTACTCTAAAGCAGGCCTGTCCCTGCCCTAGAGGTGCACTCACTGGCCAGCTCAGCCTTCCCACCAGCATTTGGTAAAATCAGGCTTAAGGGCTTCCTGGCAAGTCTGAAGACTCAAATGCTTCTCTGGAGTCAAAATACAGCCCAGACATGCCCAACCATAAAGCAGACTCAATAAGGGACCATCAGCACAAGGGGATGAAAAGCTGTCTTCAGAACACCCAAAGCTTCATGGTAGAGTGCTGGAATTGCTCATAAAGAAAGGAGAGAACCACTGTGAGAGGATATCAAGAACAGCTTGGCCAAAGGACAGTTTAGATAGATCTAGTGCAGTCTCAGGGCAGAAGTCTCTGAGAGCTTCCCCAGTTGCATTCTTCCTGCACTGAACTTCACACAGGCTCAGAGAGGCAATGTGCAATGCCACTGGAGAGACTGCTATGCAGTGAGCCACGTACTGACTGGGTACAGGAGTGCTCCAGCACACCATCACAGCTCCATCTGGGTGTTCAATGTCACCATTGCTATCCAGCCTTCCATACTCAGTGTCTGCTGGATTATTCAGCTTTTAGGCCATTCCTTGTGTCACTTCTTTTCCACTGAGGGAAGATTAACACCATAAGGTTGGAAACAGCCCGAACTCCCTACAGCAGCCACTTGCAGGATTACCAGGGATGTGTGAAAATACCAGGGATGTGTGAACTGGCCCTCATTACAGGAGTGACTCCAAGGAAAAGGATCTCACCAAGAACCCATGAGGATCCAGGGAACAGGCTACAGCTAAAAATCCTAACAGTGGAAAACCTCTTGACAACCAGGCAGCTGGGACAAGTTGCAGGCCTTGCTTTGGCTGCTGTCATTCAAGGAAGGGCTCTGTGTCACTTGTGGGAAGCCCTCAAACCAACAGGCCATGGGGCAGCATAGCACATTGCAGCCAGTGTGCAAGGCCTGGTTTGTGTCTTCACTGTCATGCCTTTTAGACAAAGCCAGGTTAAATGGTTATGGCCACTACAGATGACTAAAATAAGAGTAAATACACCAGAGACACACTGGCATAAATTGCTTGTGCCACATTGATTTTGCTTGGGATTCCTGCAGTGGTAACCATGGGCTAGGATCCCCTTACCTCCGATGACAATTCTAAAGTTAATTATCACTACATAGTTTTGCTGGAATAAATTGCTTATCAGTCAGCCTCCCTCAACATTTTTGAGGGCAAGTTCTTTGACCTGCCTGGACGTGTTCCTGTGGGACCTAATCCAGGTGCTCCTGCATGGGCAGGGGGATTGGACTAGATGATCTTTTGAGGTCCCTTCCAATCCCTGACATTCTGTGATTCTGTGAGTGGGGCCATGCTCACCTGTGCCATGAAAATGAACTATCTGCTGGCCAATTCCACCTGCCCCTTCTGCACATCAGTCTGTGAAGGAGGCACGTGTTGGGGCCTGTGACCAGGAAAAGGCAGGTGATGTTCCCCATCCTGGCTAATTCTGATCACTGCAGCGTTCTCTCGTCACGTGCTGTCACGGGTTTGCCCCTTCAACCACAGAAAGATGTTTATTTCTACAATGAGCATATCAAAAAGCATCCCAAGCCCACATAACTAATGCTAAGAGCTGAGAGCAGACCCATGTTCTGCATCCAGAGAGAAGTAAGAGCCTAATTGCAACAGTATTACTCCAGTATTTATCCACAAACAGTTTCAAGCCCCAGGGCTGACAGGCTTTTTGTGCACAGACAGTTACACTTTTTACAAACAGCATTTTAAGGACCTTGCAGACTGCTATGTAATCAGTCTGCTGCACAAAGCAGCGCCAGGACAGCTCATGTGACTGGAGGCACATCTGGCACATTAAGTCATATGATAACAGAGCTCCTCTCCCACAGTAACACTTCCCCCAGTATCTCTTTGTGCTGCTGCCTCTCCCCTACTCTGTGATCCACAAACCAGACATGCTGAGCTCTTGGACCTCACAACAGGCAGGCACAAGTCCTGGGCAGGACAGAGGCCCTGGTGCAGGCATTTAAGATACGGGGCTTGAATAAAGGGGGCCCATAGGGCAGGCTATTGTGAGCTACAGGAGCTGCATCTTTTGGCACAAGGAATCTTCTGATTTCTCAAGGGTCATCAAAACAGGGATGGGAAAACACATTTACAGCAAAATAATCCTTGCCTGTTGCCCAGTGTGCTTTGCCTTACTGGGTTTCTCTCAGTGATGCCCTCATGCTGCCTCCCTGCTGGGGCTTGGCCTCCTCTCCTGCAGAGCACCCTGGAAAGGGGCCGTCAGCCACTTCCCTGAGTTTCACTTTCATTTTCACTTTCAGGTCTCACTTCCCAGCACCCAGGAACTCCTTATTTGCTGGTCCAGCAGACAAAGCAGCCTCACCCCTCTGCCCACAAAAGGGGAGAAAGTCTCCACTGCTGGTGCACAGGCTGACAGCCCACGCCTTGTCCTGCTTGTCCCCGAGGACCTTCCTCCCACAGCTGGCACTATGCAGGTAGATGCTATTGCTGAGCTGCCTGTAAGGTGGCTTAGGGATGTCACATACCTGGTGGGCACTGCTTCCAGCAGCAGGCTGAAGTGCTCGTCCCTCGTCCCCAGCTGCAAGCAGAGCGCCACGTGCGAAGGACTCCTGGAGGATCCCGCAGTCCCACACGGTTTGTGGCCTGGCTGTGTGCCACAAGAACCTGCAGGCAGCCCCGTCCTACACTTTGCCTATGGGGTGTTTGAAATAAAGCTGTGCCGATCTGAAACTTCCAGTGATCTCAGAGCCCTGAATTGAGATCTCTTGATCCTGAGGGGAATCTCTAAGCTACCCACCTGCTGGCTGTGTCTATAGCCACAGGGATCCCTGCATAAAAAAGAATAGAGGAGAGGGTCCTGACCTACACCCACACACCCTCACAACACAGGAGACCCAACCTGTGCCTACAGCAGCAGCCCTTCCCCACCCTCATCTGCTGCAGGGGCTCAGACCCACCACAATACCTACGTGGGTCTCTCTGCTGGCCCTGCTGTGGCAAAACAAACGTCAAGGCCCTCAATCCTCCCCTACAACAGCGGGGTTTCTAACCGAGGCCCCCAGCCCCACACAGGGGGAGGATCAGCTCCTGAGATGCCAGGCCTTCTGCCCCTAACCAGATGTCAGGGCTGCGGCTGTGGGGACCCGAGGGCTGCCGGGGCAACAGCCCTGCCGCTACGGGAAGCCCCAAACCCACCGGGCCCCTAATGATGCCAGACCCCCCGCCCCGCCCCAGCGGGGACCCTCGCAACCGCCGGGCCGAGGCGCTGAGGGGAGCCTCGCACCGCCCCCGTCACCGCCGCCACCCGCGCCCGCGCCGCCAGCCAATCAGCGGCGAGATCCCGCGCCTCGCCCCGCCCCCGCCGCCCTCCGCCGGCGGAGGCGTGGCGTTCCCGCGAGGAGGCGGGAGGCGGCGAGAGAGTGCGTGTGTGGGGTGCGGGGTGGGGGGGGAGGGGGTGCGTGAGCGACGGGCGGCGCCGGCCAATCGGCGCGGCGGATGGGCGCGGAGGGGGCGGTGCGGCGGGGAGCCAATGGGGAGCGCGCGCTGTCAGGAGCGAGCGCCTCAAATCATCGTGCTCAGCTGATTGTCCCCGGCACTGAGTTGCTCGGCGGCGGCGCGGCCGGCGGCTCGGGCGCCCCTTTGTCGCATGGCGCTGTCCGGCTGAGGGCAGGGCGGCCGGCCGGCCGGGCGCGCGGCGATCGTTGCTGCCTCCCGCCGCCCCATGAGCTCCCTCGCCGCGGGGGCGGCCCTGGCCGAGGGCCCCGCCGTGCCCTACGCGGTGGAGCTGGGGCTGACGGTGCTCCACACGGCGCTGTACGCCGCGCTCTTCCTCTTCGCCTACCTGCAGCTCTGGCTGCTGCTCTACTACCGCGAGCGGCGGCTGAGCTACCACACGCTCTGCCTCTTCCTCTGCCTGCTCTGGGCCGCCCTCAGGACCACGCTGTTCTCCTTCTACCTGCAGAACTCGCTGCAGGCCCTCCGCCTCCAGCAGCCCTTCGCCCACTGGCTGCTCTACTGCCTGCCCGGCTGCCTGCTCTTCGCCGGCCTCTGCCTCCTCAACCTCTACTTCGCTGAGGTGAATTGGGGCGGGGCGTCGTGGGGCCGAGCCCCGAGGGGGCTGGGGGTGCTGAGTGCTTCCAGCTGCTTTTGGGGGTGGTGACCCCACGTAGGGTGAGGCGGGAGCCTGCCCCGTGTGTCCTTACGGCCCCGTTGGTGGGGGGTAGGGGGGAGGGGTTATGTGGGGGTGTGTGTGTGGGGGGGGGGGGGGGGGGGGGGGGGGGGGGGGGGGGGGGGGGGTTGGTTTTTGTCTCGTTTGATTCATTCCCCTCCTTTAAAAAGGACCAGAAAGTGGCGGCGAGCGGCAGGGGCTGCTCGGGCCTGGAGTGCTGCCAAGCATTACGTCACCAGCCAGAGCCTCTTCTGCTATTGTTGCTGCGCTCCCTCCTTCTCTCCATCCCTCCTCTCGGGTTTGTTTTTGTGCTCCTTGTTGTCAGGCAGAAGCATCCCCCCCTCCCAGGTCCCCCCTTCCCCCCCTCCACCCAAATCCCTCTGCCCCGCTCCCCATGCAGGGCTGCTCGCTGTGCCCCCTCCCTGCGCGGTGCTCAGGACGGTGCTGGCTGTTGTTGCCGAGCTGCATTCCTCCTTTTCTGCCTTTCCCCATCATTCGTTATGTGTTTTTTTTTACCCTCCTTTTATTTATCCTCTAAAGCCTTAGCTTTCCCCTCCCCTTCCCCCTCTGAGTATTTTGCTTCTGCTCCAGTTTCTCGTGAGCGGCCCTCTGCCTGCCTTCCCGTTTGGTGACTTGTTTCATAAATAGACAGTACTTTCCTTCCAGCTTTGTTGTTCGGATTCTTTGCTCTGCAGCTCTCAGCTGTTTGCCAGCCTCACAAAGGAATCGCTAACACACAGCGGAATCGCTCCGTCGCTCCGATGTGTCACCAGTAGGAATTATGATTTCATTTTCCCTAGGATATCAACGTGCACGTGATAATGTGAGGCTGGGAGACGTGGGGTGCTTCTGCCTTTTTGGGTTCTGACACTCCCACACCTGGAGGAAGTGGGGGTAAACTGCCCCTTGTGAAAGCTGTTAGTGCTGGGTGCGCTGCCTGTCGAGTGGCAGCGAAGTAACAAATGCTGCATAGTGTGCATGATCCATCTTGTGTGTTAAGGGGAGCCTGACTTACCAACTGCTCCAACCAGTAGGTGTTTATGTCACCCAGCAGGCGAGCTGACCCAGGATCCCAAGTTCTGCTGCTGCAGACTGGCTTGATTTTGATTTTCCTCCAAGTCACTGGACTTGATAGCAGGCTTGCCTCCTTGCAGGCTTTTTAAAAGGCTTTAAATAAAAATGAAGTAAATTCAGATGGGCTCTCAGGCTGCCCTTCCTCCCATGATATCTGTTTTGCAGCAGACTTTGGCTGGGTATGCTCTGCTTCTTTTTCCTTGAAGACCTAGAGCCAAGGGAAATCCTGTCTGAGGAAATAAGAGCTCAGGATCTAGAGTGGGAAAGGATAAGATGGCTTATTAAGATGGGTGTGCGTGCTTAGTTACAGAGAAGGGCCTGACACTTGGCCATCCTGAGCAGCACGGATGTCCAGCATGCTGTGGTCTGAGTGATCTCACAGTGGTGGTAAGTGGTGAAAGCTATAGCTGCTGGGGTTTGGAGAAAATGCAGCTAGATGGACTGAAAGCCCTTGGTTCTATCCTGGCTTCCATTTTAATGGGGGAAAAAAAAAGTATTACTATATATAGGGATATTTGGTCTCTTCTGCTTGGATAACAGGCTGGTAAGGCTAGCCTGTCCTTTTCTTAGCTACCAACACATGGTGCCCTTCTGCCAACTGCAAGCTTGGCTGGGATGTGCTCAGTGTTTTCCTTAAAGCACAGGGGGAGCTGCATTAAGGGATGTTAACAACAATGCTCGTTATGCTCTATCTGGAAGAAAGTGAAGCTATTGTGGAAGAACTGTGGTTTAGCTGAAGAGACTCAAGATCTAGAAGTGATTATGTCTACTAGTGTGACTCAAACAGGAGATGCTGTGGAAGGCCCATCAGTTCTCAATTCTTACAGGCCAGCTGACGGCAACCTGTAGAGGAGTGCAGGGCTTTTGGTGCTCTGAGGCTGCCATCCTTGTCTGAGAAGTCCTCAGATAAAAGCATAGGCTGCTTCTGTGCTGCAGGCATAGCTAATCTTTGTGCACAGTGCATTCTTTGTGAAGATGCTGGAGAAGTGGCATCTGTCTAAGCAGTGGAGGGAAATGTGGCCTGTGCTGTTTTGCACTGATCTCGTTTGATTTGCAGAGCTCGTGAGGGTGAGATGATGCTGAGTGGGGGAACAGCCTCAGGAAGCAAAAATATACATGAACAGTTAGAACAGCTTCATGCACAAGCTAGCACTAGGGCTGAAATTCAAATTGAGGGAGCTGCCTCGTGTTCATCCTGTCTGTGGGGGTAAGGTTGTCCAGTCCCTATCCTGTCTTGGTCCCTGGGATTCCTGAGGGGGTGGGGAGGTTTGACAAAATGTGTGTGGGCTGCTTATTTGGCAATAAGTGTCTTTCATTTCACCTGGAGCATCAGGAGATGTCACGCCTTCTGCTTGGGAGCATCTCTTCCCTCTGCTTCGGCTTGTAACAACGAGTTTCTCTCTGGGAAATTGGAAGATTATAGTGCATCGCATCAGAATTCCTCAGCCTTGCTTCAAACCATTAGAATGCTGGCTCAGATATTCAACCCAGGATGTTTGTCTGCCTTGTGTGGAATAGCTCCTCTGCCAGTTAGGCATCTGCTTGAGTAATACTACCTTTCCCAAGAGCCTGCCAATTACTGCTTCCCCCAGGTCATTGTCAGGAGCACAATACATGTAAATGTAGCCACAACCTCCACCCTGACCCTTTCAAAGACCTCGAACACTTGGCATCCCCAGCTCCCCTGAGAGTCAGCAGCCGAGTGCAACAATGAGTAAGGCCTTCTGCTTGTGGTGGAGCTCTGACGGGCTGCTCTGCCAGACTGGTGTGGCTGTAACCCTTAACCTGTCTGGGTTTCTCTAAGTGGTCCATCTGATTAGATGACATCAGCCTCTTTCATCCCTTGTTGTTCTAATTGTGCTGGAGCAGACATGCATGGAGAGAGAGCATCCAGCCTGGGAGCTCTTTGTCCGAGGGTAATATCTTCTTGCCTTTTCAGATGGAGATTTAGAAAAGCCTTCATCCATTCCTACATTCTTCTACAGTCTTCCACGTTCCTTGTCTCACACACCTGGTGTGTGATCTTTTTCGTGGTGCAATAGCTGGTACAGGGTCACTTAAACTCAGAACTGCTCCATCTAAGGGCTGATGATTCCCTGGGGCCCCACAGTTCCTGGTTGAACACATCACAGTGTTCTGTGTTCGTGATGATGTAGGGTGATCTCAGGATTAGTGGGGCTGATGAGAGATCCTCCTTATAGGTGACTTCCAGCACTTCCTCAGAGGGGTGGATGGGAGAGATCTTGAACAGGGTTTATGGAATACAGTCCCTAAGTAGTCTCAGCTTGGTGCTGAATGCAGTGAGTAAGGTCTGTCCTCGTGTCAAGGCAGAACACAGTTCTACCTTGCATCTGGAGAGCCCAAACTCATTAACTTTATAAAGCAAAAAAGAATTTGATTCTGTCAGAAAAGGAACAGGATTAAAAGTCTGGATATTTCAGACCTGTTGTGAGTGGTTGTACCAAAGTGAAGCTGAAGTTGGGTGAGCATTAGGGCTGAAGCTGGTCCAGAGCCATCTATAGGATGTGGTCTTTTATGTGTCATCTCTTATCTCTTAGCAACTGACATCTCCAGCACATCTTCAAGGATGAGTGTTTCTGATGCTCTGAGAGCATGCCCATAGCAGGTTCACCTCTTGGGGTCAGTGATGTGAGCAGGGAGATCACCTTTGTGAAATACCTGCTCTTGTCACAGAAATACCTCTAGCTTATAGGGACCTTCTGAGTCTGTAGTGTTTTTTTTTTTTAGCTTCACTTTTTTTCCCCAAGTCTGTAGCTGATGGGAAGTGCAGAAAGGACTTGCTAACAGAAAAACAACTGAGATTTGCTTAACTGTTACAAAAGGCTTGCTTAGCAGCAAACTGCCTAGTCCTGCTGCTCTGGGCCAGCAGAGACATCTGTTCTCCATTTTCAGCAGGCAACTGCATGGCTCCTGGGCTGACTACCCAGCTGAACAGGGAAAAAAAAAAAAAAAACAGCCCTGTTTGTGGGGGCTGTTTCCAGCAACTTGGTATGGTGTGCCTGCCTGAGGACAGGGGCCTGGATTTCCTGCTCTTACAAGGAGCAG